CAAAAATATATTACCACCAATTATATTTAGAAATGCGTTTCGTAAAATGGAAAAGCATGTCCAATACAACCTCCCATTAATCAATTTCGACAAGTTACATACTTTACAAATTTTTTTAGAGGTCGATCGTAAAATAGTATAAAATTGGGTTTGAAATATTTCACTTATTTTGGAATACAAAAAAGAAGTCTCTCTCTTTCTCTCTTTTTTTTTTTTTTTTATAATTATGAGGTTCTTGCGTAATATGGCCGATGAAAAAGTATCTCTAACCCTATGCCCCTTAACACCTCATGGATAATATATGAGGGAAATTTAAAGTCTGATTATAAGGTGGATACGTCCCAACTACTCTAGCACTGGTTTACTGTAGATATTGAGCCAATAAAAAGGTCAGACTTTTAAGAGTTCAAAGTTCAAATATTAATTAATTTCTGCAGGAGAGGGAGGGGTGGATATTAGAGTGTGATATCATAGATCATGCCTTCCGAATTAATATCTTCTGAGACGCTCTTAATTAATACTTTAATTAATATATAGTCCTTTTGTTTCGTACGATCTCTAAAGGTGGTTGGGCAGGTAGTTATAGCATAAGCGATATATACAAATAACCGAATCAAAACTTTTTAGTAACAAATAGCGATCGATGATGATCATTGTAATTAATCGCTTTCCCTTGTTCAGTATGGTCAATTTCTGCATTTGTTTGTTATTAATGGGGAGGACGATAGAAACGTTAAATGGTTCGTTCAATCAACTTAGTAAAAAGATCTCTCAGTTTGATTCAATTCGAACTCCAATTTGCATATTAAGTCAGTGATCAATCATGAAATGCTTCAACGCTCATACGTACCAAATCAAAGTAAAATCTTTATCACGTTAAGTTTCAGGTAAATGTGTATTAAATATAATAATTACTCGATTTTGTCCAAATATCTTTTGAATTTCACGAATAAATACATGGGAGTTTAATTCATTAAGCACGTAAATTAATTAACCCTTCATCACAAATTTGACATCTTGAATAATGACTTTTCTAAGAAGCGAGGAGAAGCTGGTTTATTTGATATCAATATATACGTGGTCCATTAAGAAACACACATGGAAAATAAGTTTGGAAAAATGAATAGTGAATATTCTCTTCTAAAGCTTTGGAGAAAAAAAAGGAACCATAATAAGTCATCGTCAAAGAACTTCATAGTACAATTATTCATTACACCACTTCTTAAAGTTTGCTCAACTTTTAAGCACTGCCAGCTCCTTTGGAGAATGACTCCTGATTGATACCCTTCATAACACGAGACCTTCATATCACCTCACAACAAAAATAAATAAATAAAATTTATGTGATTCCTTCATTTTATTTTTTTTTACTCCCTTCGTCTCATAATTATTGTTCAGTTTGGGTTTTCATTTCTAGTTCAAATTGTACTAAAAGTGAAATCTCAAACTGGACAATAATTTTGGGACAAGGGGAGTATTTTTCTTGTTTGAGTTTTCTTTTCAAGTATATTCACTTGTTTGGAGGGAAAAAAAAAAAGGTTTTATATATCTGTGTCATTAATTTAGCGGCCAATCAAACCACTTTAGTGGCGATCTTAGCGGGATTAAACTCTTTCATTATGGACTGTGTTTAAAGGTAATCACGTTATATTTTTTGACTTTATAAAATCCCCTTATAATTAATCCACATCATGCAGCGTACTTACTTCATCCGGTTGTATTTATAAAGTACAACAGCTAATTAATTAAAACATCATGAGTTTCCTTAGCCATCTCTTATAAATCCAGAATTCCATTCTCAATTGGTCAAACATTGGAAAATCTTAAAAATATAAAATAAATGCCACCAAGGAGATTATTTTACGATGAGGACTTTGCACCCCCCTAAAATTTGTGCTTTATGAATATGATCCGAGGGTGTATAAGTTATTATTGTATGTACAACTCTCACACTAAAATAGTACTATACGTACATTGTTTAAGTCACTCGTTTGATTTGCATTTACTACTTAGAAATTCAAACGTAAGTAGTGGTTATGGTGAACGGTCGGACTAAATCTTCGTTCATCTTCTTTAAGCATGCTTGAACCATTCTCTAGGTAAACCTAATCCGGGAATAATTTATGCTATAAGCGATGAAGTGGTAATTTAACGTGGTAACTAACATATATAGTCTTCATTTTCTAAAAAAATAAATATATACATGATCGTTCCACGGTCATTTAAAAAAGAAAGAGAGAAAAAGAAAATGGGTCAAAGAAAAAGAAAATGAAGCAAGATCAAAAGATATTTCCTTGTTTTCGCTTTTAGTGTACAAAATTACAAATCATGGATATTCTAACCCTAATAACTCATTTCCATGTATATAACTTCAATTACATTTGGGATGTTATGCAACGACGGATTTGCTTATAGCTAGTCTAACTAAGAACTGATTAAGTAAAATAGTTTACCAACTTACGCTTCAAAAGCGTGGTATGATTTGACTAATCGGAGGGGAAAGTTCCTAAATTGAAAAAACAAAATGTCATATTCATGAGCAAGGGGCGAAAGGTACAAAGTATATTACTCCCTCCGTCCCATAACTATTATCCACATTGCCAAAAAAAAAAAATTTATCCCAAAATTATTGTCCGATTTGACTTTTTATGAATTAAATTACACATTTACCCTTCACTAGAACCAGTTTATCCGGATGGAATAAGTTATAGCATATGAACGAGTTTCACACCTCCGAAGTATGACTTTTTGATCTAGTCTTTAATAGCAACTAAACTTTGTTCAGAAAAATATGAGAGAAACTGACCGGTACCCTCCACCAACAACTTTACTAATTAAAATGGTACTCTGCCAATCCGCCGCCGGTTCCATCCACCAACAACTCCTACGATGTTAAAATCGGCCAGAGCCGTCATAACCGTTGTCGGCGAGCTGTTTGTGGCGAAAATAGCACAATTTACAGCATTGACTTTGGTGCCGGTCGCCGCCGATACTCTACACGTCGACCAGGTTTGGAGCTGAGCGATAGTTAAAAGTTAGACTTGTCGATTGGCGGCTGAGTGAGGGACAAAAGCAAATGGGTTAGACAAATTTGGTCTGCGGCTGATCGGCATCTAATGGATAGGTTTTTGAATTTCGCTGCTGATGTCGGAGGGAATTAAAGGAGATTGTGTTTATAAATCTATATAAAATCTTTGCCGAATTACATATTCAGGGTATATACGGAAGTTTGAGTCAAATTATAGTCTAGTTTGACCAAAAATAAAATTTTCTATTTTAACCAAATTAAACAATAATTATGGGACGGAGGGAGTAATTCTTTTTTACTTGTAATTGGCCGCCTTGAGTTTGTACTTATTTTGCGAAATTCTTACCTACAAGGATAAAGTAATTAACTGTACTGAATACACTTCTGAATTTCTTTTTTATATATAGTTTTCGAACTTAAACTTATAATTATGTGAAAAATAAAATTGGTGAAGAATGAAAAGGTCCCTGAAAGAGAAGTGGGAAGAAAAGTACAAAATACAAATAACACTACGCCAATGAGACATTTACGTGGCTAGAGATGCGATCTCCAAGTCCATATTCGAAATTATTGCAGCCCACTGAGGTAGGTAAGTAATTTTAAATAGTATATTATCTTTTCAAATCACATTTATGTAGTATTTGTTACAGACTACAGACAATTTTTTTAATTTTTTAATTTTTATTTTTCTACTTACCGTGCAGTCTTATCCCCTGGGGAGGTGAATCTCTCCAAATCATTGAAAAATTAAAGAAAAGAACAAAAGTGCATTTGTTTGGGTATAAAAAAAAGAGTGACATCTGTTAATGAAAATGTAAGATAAAGTTAACCTAATGATTACCTCCTATTTTTATATTTTCTAATGCTAGTTGTAGACTTGTAGTAGTAGTAGTATTAAAAAAGCTTGATTTAACCCCTGTTGAATGAAAGCTTACATTTATGGCGTATGACTCGTGCAAAACATTTGTTTGGTTCGTAGGACGAAATAAACTTGACCTCCTTTACTTAAAGTTTCGAGTTTGGATTTATTTATAAAAACTAACTGTTAAAGGAGAATTTTTACCTCAAAAAAGGACTCATCCAAAATAAGTACTCTTTCTGTCTCAAAATTATTTGTCAGTTTGATATTTCACTTTGAATACAATTTTGAACTAGAAATGAAAATCGACAATAATTATGAGAAAGAAGAAATAATAATAAGTGAATATGTGTTCATAAATGTCCATATCCTCGTGTTCATATGGATTTTGGTCCAACATAAGTTTGTAGAAAGAAAACAATGACTCATCAACGATTGTGAAATTGCGATCACTTCTTTTGGATTGCTACAGGACAACTCAACTCACATGAAGTAGTAAATATTTTGATTTGTCCAATTTGAAATATTTTCTGTTATTTTCCCGTTTGAATGTCTGTCCTATTTTTGCCATCAATGAAAACGGGAAAGGAGAAGAAATGGAATAATGATGTTATCCTGGTTTCATATGTGCGTGTTTGTTTTTCCTGGATTTTCCACAAACCACAATTGTAATTGTCTCTTACTTTTTCAGTGAAAATTACTCCATCCTTCTTTTGTATTCAAGAAAACCAACTAATAAAAAGGTGGCTATATATTGTACGTATGATGTCAAACGTGTGAAATTTTAGGTACATTTGACTTCCCTGTTAAGTCATTTAACAACTACTAATATGGCAAATTTAAATTACTTGTTTCTCTTCTATCACAGCTAAATGTTAGTACCAAATTTCTCAGTTGAATTATTACTATAATGCAATTTGTCTCGAGACTTTTACGAAAGATCATCAGCCACTCTGGAAATAGTCCTGAACTCGTGATCATGTCTAGGTCGTTTTTTTGTGCATTATGATGAAATGGTGAAGAAGAAAAAAGAAAGGGAAAAAAAAAAAAGACACACCATAACAAAAGAATCGAATGATAGTGTGACGATCAAACTTAACTAAAAGCGGTATAAATAGGGAGAATGTGTTTGATAAATATGCCAAATCCATCATAGATTACTTAATTGAGTGTGAGAGTTTGTTTGATGATAACTATAATTATTATTAACATTTTAACAATACCAAGATCGTCGCAAAATATGTATATATTATACATGTAAAACCGAAACCCAAATCAAAATTAAGAGATACTCTTCTCTATTTATAATATGGACAACCTCTAAAATTAAGTTTGAGGTTATAACTTGACATTTCAAGCTGTGTGCACCTTAATTGGTTGCTTCGATTGAGCGGCCAATTGCAGCTTCGCCGCCAAAGTCGCCGGCTGAGTCTGGGATAAGCCACTCCCCAATCCCATCACCACCCACCAATGACCCTTGACCAAGAAAATAAGCGTACACGTCAGCATCACTCCCCCACCACCACCCGTCGTCCTCCGCCACCACCGCTGACAGTGTCAATTCCGCCCCCCTCGACTCCGAACTTTCCTCCAGGCTCGGCAGCTCAATTATCTCCCCGAGCTCCTCCGACGAAGCCCCCTCCGCTTCCATTGACGAACTCGACGAGCAAGACGACGACGACGACGGTGAAGCCGAGGTGGACGGCGGCGGCGGCGAGTCGAGCTCCTCCATCCCGGCGGCTTTAGCGGCGGCGGCTTGGACGTCGCGGGGAGCAAGGGTGGCCGGACGTGGGAGGAAGTGGATGAGGTGGGGAAAATTGAGGAGGGAAGAATTGCCTTTAATGCTGAGGGCGGCGACGTCGTGTGCACGCGCAGCCATTTCGGCGGTGGGGTAAGTACCGAGCCAAATCCGGGACTTCTTACGTGGCTCGCGAATTTCGGAGACCCATTTACCCCAGCTCCTCATACGAACTCCTCTGTAAACCGGATGCTTATTTCCACCATTATTCCCATTATTATTATTATTATTATTATCACCACTTTCCCTTTCTCTCTTCTTGCTGCGTTTCTTCTCCTCCATTGCTGCCAACAGTTATTAGTAGTATATCAGGATTTTAGAGTCAACCCACATGAAGACGAAGACGAATTATATGCATGCAATGATGCGAAAATCAATCTTAAGTGTGGTGGGTTTTGGGTTATGAGTTGGGAATGGTAATAAAATAAGTGAAAAAAGGGTGACAGACAAAATGGGGGGATAAATGGCCGTTGCAGGAGAAGAGGGAGAAACACTACGTGGGGAGTGGTGGGGTTATATAGAGAGATATAAGTAATGGTGGAATTAGCTGCAGTTTTCAATTTTGTTGTAACAGTGACAATTAACCTAACCAATTGATACAACTGTATTAATTGCAACAAGATACTACTGATTTAATAATAAAGATTTTATTTTATTTTATTTTATTATTTGTTTAGCAAGTTAGGACTGCAATTCTGCAACAGCTGTGTGTGTGTGTGTGACTGTGTCAGTGGTGAAGTGATTAATTTTGAATTGATGGGATGGAGGAGGGTATTATAATTAGACAAGAAGAGATTGATGAAGTGAAGGAAGGAAAGGAAGATGAGAGCCCCCGGGGGAAAGTGGGGCCAACTTAAGAGATGGGTCAAGGGTGTTGAATAGTTGCCATTTTTTGGTGGGGTCTTCCCGTGTTGCCAACAGCTCTCTAACAAAACTTTTAATTAAATTGGACCAAATTCACTCCATAAATGTTAAAACCAAAAACTTAGCGCTTCTTTGAACGTCAACTTACATTTCATTTTGTCACTTAAAAGTGGAAAATATTTCAAATTAAAAATTAAATGGGAAAAAAAAATATTGTTTACATTTCATTTTGTCACTTAAAAGTGGGAAATGTTTCAAATTGAAAACTAAATGAGAAATAAAAATATTGTTTGATGTCGGTTTTGAAAAAAAAAATATATTTTGAACTACATTTTAAAATATCAAGTACAAGTCATCACTAAACAATTAAACACTATCAATTATAATTACTGCAAAAAGGAACTTTTCCAAAAATAATCATTCAACAACGGAATCCTACCAAATTTGTCACTGAACTATTTGTAGTTCTAAAATGATCATTACCCTAAGAAAAAGTGTTTCAAGTGGGAATTTAAAAAGTAAATCAAAAAGTTATTTAGATGATATTTTCTTTTCCATTGAGTTTTGTGTTTAAAAGATAAAATGAGTGAAAATATAAAATGGAAGGTTGTCCAAATAAAGCCTTAACATACAAGTTGTTGTTACAGCTTCGTGAACGAGTGTTGTAATGTTCGTTGTGTAAAATATTTTGAATAAATATAATTCTGATTTCGGACGGGTGCACATATGCTAACTTACATTTTATCCTTTCCGTAATAATTTGATTTCACATTTAAGAAAAAAACAAAACTTAATTATGAGATTTGCACCATCATTAAAAATTGATAAATAAACTAATAGTCTATTTGTTTCACGATATTACAATTTCCTTAATTTCCAAGATTAAGTTGTTGAATTTATACTTTATAGTTCAAATTTCAAACTAAGGATGAATAGTAATATTTACCGGTTTATTCTTTTACAAGTTTTTAAAACCCTGGTGAAATAAGAAATTGACAAGGAACGGCAGAAAAGAAACGTTAACATTACAAAACCTCTCACTACTCATGTACTACGTAAGATTAAGCTAAAACTATTACGCCACAAATCATGATACGTACGAATTAAACAAAAAAAAAAAGGGAAACAAAAAAAGGTGTAAAATAATTACGAAAACATTGACTAAGTAATCGTAAAGAAAAATGGCGTTATTAATGGAGGCGGGGTAGTGGACTGGTGGGTATATTACGACATCCATCCACGTATCTTTCAACTCATCAAATGTTAAAAAGTATCCGTTACACAGTCTTTTACTTATCAAGTTCTTGTTCCACATGTCCAAATCCACCCACACTCACTCACTAGTCTATATGTATCTCTTTCAGTCCTCAATACCGTTAGTATTATGAATAGTAAGTTGGAAGTTGACACTGCAAAAAAATTTACTACAAAAAAAAAAAGGATAATTGGGTGAATTTGAAGCAGCAGAACGTTATAACGTGAACGTGATGTTGTTTCGCATATTCATGACATAATAAGTCATTTTTCAATTTTAGCAGCTCCTTAATTTGCCTTTTAACTTCTTTCAGTAAACAACAATGTGGGTCTTTGAATCCTTAGGGCTAATGCCCTGGTGACAACGTCAAGCGGATTGAAATTTTGAATGGGAGAAAAATAGTTAAAGTAATTACTGTACAAACACACACTCTGTCACTTTATTCTTCACTTTTAGTAGCAGATAGCACAGGAACATACATTGATTTTATTTGTCTCATAATTTCACGTACACATAGTCATGTAATATTTTTATAGTTCAACAAAGTGAATTTATTTCTAGAAGAATATTGTGCGTAAAAACCTACACGTATCTATCTGTTTTAATTATCCACTTTGTTATATTATTCTGATTTGGAAAAAATAAATTATTAAAATTTAGACAGGAATGACATTAGACATACTCTATAGCCGTGTATCATATTAATTAGACAATTTAGCAACTTTAATTAAAGTAGGGTTTATACTTTTTAAATTATTAACATATACCTACCCTTTTAATTAGTATTTGACATTCCAGCGTCTCCCTGGCTACCATCCAGCGTCTCCCTTGGGTAATGAAAATTGAAATGGTCCAGACTTCAGAATAATTCTGGATCATTTCAGTGGAGTTCTGCTGGATTATAATTTTATGATGATACTGGCTATATACATAGATTAAGTGCAATAGTACGAAGCCTACAAAGGTAGGCTTTCTTTGCAGTCATTTGTATCCTTAAGCATGCTATAAACCTATTAAAGTATGTATGTTTTTTTCACATAAGTGGGCCGAAGACATTTGTTAGCTTTATTGCCCCATAGTATATAGTATTTATTAATTCAAGCCTACTTGTGTCACCCTTATGTCCTATCCCTAGACTGGACCATACTACCTTAGCTTATCCTCTCTAATCTTCATGAACAATTGGGACAATTAATTGTTTTAACTTTTAAGCTGTTTCTTTAAAGTTCAACTCCCTCTGTCTATTAATTATTGTTCAGTTTGAAATTTTACTTTTAGTACAATTTGAACAAAAAATAAAAATCTAAACTGGACAATAATTATGGGAGGAGAGAGTATTAAACTTCTAATCGTTGGATCCAATGTACCAAAAAGCCACCGAAACCGAAAAAAAAGTTGACATAATGTACAGTACTAAAATGATAAATTTGGATATACGAAACAAAAATTACTAATTGACCTCACGTAACAGACGAAAAATACAGGGTTAGTCTTCTTATCTAAACATACTGTATGTTGTACGAATATGTAAAAATTATTGTTCAATTCTCTTCCCGTGAGAGACAATTTGAATCTGAACAATTTTTATCTCAATATTTGATTTTCTTTCGCCCTTCATGGTTGGTCTGGGGAATAAATAGGATTCGCGGGAATTTTCAGTTTGACCTTAAAGCTAATTATTTCGTAGTGTGTATTTAGGGCAATTTATTGCCGGCAAATTCACCCCTCCGTATAATTTTAATTTTATTACAGCAGGAAGATTTTCTGGAGGAAGTTAATTTTCACCCGAATCTCTCCCGTGTGTTAGTCCGGTCCTCCACCTAACGAATTTGGGTACTGAAATAAATAGGATCACCAAACACCGCCTAATTGATTATCCTCAAAATTTTCCACTTCGCCTTTCTATCTTCTCTCTCTCGTGTGGCTTCGTTTTCGATTAGAATTAGGTATTTGTGAATCAGAGTGAAAAGGAGCGGATCATCGTCATGGAGAAAGGAGGTCGAGGTGAGGAAGAGATCACTTCCGCCCGAAAATCTCAACCACGAATTCCTTCTACTTATGTTTCCTTAAAAACCCCATGTTATTGTTATTGCTGCAGCTTAACCACTAGTTTTTGTGCTGCAGGAAAATTTGCCGGAGCAAGTTTGTACCCGGATCGCAAACGTAAGTCCTTTTCTAATTTCTTTTATGTTTTTAATTTTGATTTAATCTTTCTTTGTACTAGTATTCAATCACTCGTCTGAATTTTCGCTTTTCCCACTTACTGCCTCTTACGAGATATTTTGATGGTCCTAAATTTTCAACAAATACTAACTATGTTTCAAAATTATTATCCAGTTCGAGATTTCACTTTTAGTACATTTTGAACTAGAAATGAAAATGAACAATAATTATGGAACGGAGGGAGTATGTTTTTTTTTTTGCGATTGAAAAAAAAAATAAATTTACATTTTCTCATGCATTATGTTCTCATAATAATTAAGAAACATTTTGAATTTTTTTTTCTCAATTAGAAAAACATATGAAACTTATGATAAATCAAAATAGCACCTTATAATAAAGAATGGAGTAAGTGTTAAATGAAAAATTGGAACTGATGAGGGGTTTCAGGGAGAGAGATAGAACCATAAGGGCGGCTGCCTGTGTGGCGTCGTCTTCCACCCGGCATGAGGCTGAGCAGGCGACAATCAGTCAACCATACCACCCCGACTGGTTAGCAACTATGCAAAAACATTATCCGGGTTACGAAATGTGGTACAATATGACTCACAAAGAGCGTAGATGGGAGCTGTCTCTTCAGGGTGCTCTCGAATTTGTAAGTTCTCCTGATCTCTCTCTCTCTGTATGTAATACTCTTATATTTTGGTTACCAACACAATTCGGTGCTACATAAAAATGAAATACATTCTTGCTATCTTGGAAATTATTGTTCAATTTGAATTTTTATTTTAAAGACAATTATTGGACTAAAACTGAAAATTAAAACTGGCCAGGGACATGGAATCTCTTATCAAAGGATAGTTCTTTTGTTTTGTAGTGCCCAAAGGTTCCTCCGAAGAAGTTGGGAAGTTATGGTGACGACGCATCGTGCCATATATACATGGAACTCTTGGTTGATTGTCCTCCCAATAGACTTGGTAACTTTTCTGAATACATGTATATGCTTGAGACAACATCAGACATTTCGAAGATTAGCTTAATGTCTAAACAATTTTTGTTTTAACTGTTGAAGTAAATTGACATCTTTGTTATCTTGTGTTGTTGAATGTTAAATATAGGCAATGTTTTGTGGAAACTTAGTGTTACGTAGTTTCTTTATGTATACCCCCCTCTTATTTCTGTTGTGGTCTGTCAAAGTAGAAATTGGGTATCAAAGCAATTATTTTCATATTTTGTGCTACCTTCTATTGGCTTTTAACATATATATGTTTGGGATGTCCATCATGCGCGCAGAAGAATACAACCTTCCGGCGCCAAGTGCTTTAGGTGAATCTGTCCTTTTCGTTCCATTGAAACTTCCGGAGCCTCCAAACCCATGTAAGATGTGGAACACTCTTCTTAAAGAGGTATACACACACACACACACACACACACACACACACACATATATATATGATACTTTTTGAGAAGCCCTGGAATGGTTTTAATGAAATGAATGACATGTTATGAACAGTACTTTATTGCAAGTTTTGATTCACGGTGATGTTATTAAAAAGGGTACCATTGAACTGTGAATTAATTACCATCTCATCGTCTGTTGTTAATGTGAAATGAAGTGCCAGGAAGACAACAGCCATTTTGATGCGATGTGGAAGTGCCTGGGCTTTCAAGGTTTTTTGCAAGATGAATGTTCTATTAATATTGACAAAAAGAGTTCTGCTTAAGATTTTCTGGGGATACTGGCATCCCATGCGAATTATTTATTGTTGAATAACATTCGAGAATTACTTTCACTCTTCCTCTTCTTTATATCGTTTAACATTCATTAATCACACACACACACAAAATGTGTACTCCCTCTGTCCCATAATTATTGTCCAGTTTAGATTTTCATTTCTAATTTAATTATACTAAAAGTGAAATCTCAAATTGGAAAATAATTTGGGACAGAGGGAGTACATTATATGTCATGTTACTCACTTTAACAAATAATATTTTCTTCTGTTTTTATATTTTTTCCCATTGCACAAATATCAAATTACCCCGATTGAATTATCACTTTTACGAGTAAATCAGTTTGGTTAAAAGTGAAAATTTAAATTAACCAATAATTTTGGAAAAAAGAGAAAGAAGTTGTGGATGAACTTCATAGCTATTTGCCACAACCACAACTAGCCAGCTTAGCTAAAACCCTCTCTTTACCTCTATTTCCGACCACAACTAGCTAGCAAAAAAATCTATAGATTTGTCCGATGGAACTATTACATTGTTTGTGCGTTTGAGGAATAATGTTTAGTAAATTGATTAATCTGCTGTAAAATTGTACTACAAAGTATTTTATTCTGAACTCGGTGTAACGTAGGTGATGTAAATAAGGTCCATTTATTACCTTGTACCTTGTGGTGATGATATTTGTTTTAAATTAGTAGAATTATTAGCAGCTAATGTTTGAGTTTGCCTGCATTAGTAGAATTATCACCCGCAAAGATTTTTTCTTTCTTTTTTAAATATGATATATAGATATGATTTTTCTTTATATAAAGACTAAAATAACACCGTAAGCAGCAATCCAATGAAGTGGGTTCCAAGAAAGAGTTGTAAGTGAGTTTGTTGACCTAATGTAATTTCCTAAGCTCATTTGCACAAACGAAACCGAGTCTGTAGTGCCTTTGGGAATTGTTGGTGAAATATGGTTAAAGTCAACAACTGTTGCTCAACCTTGCAATTGTTTTCTTTTCTTTTTTAGTTTTCCTTCAGATATCTAGCATTTGCTCTTTCGGCAGGAAAATGTGAAGATCAATATCGTCTATGGACATCGGAATTGAAAAATTGGGTATTTATTATAGCTGTTTCACTTTTTTTTTTAATTAAAATTTAAACTTATTAATTATATTATTACTAGTTGAAATTTGATAAGAAATGGTTGTGCATTTTCAAGTGTGTAGCATGAGTCACTAGATCATTTAATATATTTTTTTTTACAGTTGTTTTATATTTTATCAGTCATCAGTTCATCACTAATAGGAATAAGAATTAGAATGATATTTTTTTTTGAGAAATAAAGATAAATTCATTAATTTGCTAAAAATCGTCTAGTAGCGATTGATAAAAATAGGATACATTCATAAAATCACAACTTGCAAACAATCATAATACCATTGTTGTGTTTTGCTATATGGATAAACCTATACTGATCTACCCCATAAAATAATGGTTGTACCACGTGTCAGATTTTTAATCCGGTCAAGGATACAACACTACCTTCGGTTGAAACCCGAAATCGTAAATATAATAATAATTAGATCTACTATCACTGAATCTTCTTGGAACATGCCGGTCAGACCGACGAACACCTTCAATGAAGCTGTCGCCACTGTATCTGTATACATCAACGACGAAACCACCGCCATACTAACAACATCAACAAGGAGGCTGCCGCCATAGCTACAAACATTGATAAAGATGTTGCCGCATACAGGGGCGGAGCCAAGCCCCTAAGATATGATGGGGTAAAATTTTCAACACTTGTAAATTAAAACACTTGCCCCTTATTATCTTAAATTTAAGTGGGGGCAAAAATTAATATTTTGTAAAAGAAATCTAAAATTTCAGGGTTTAATTAGCAAAAAAAAAAAAAATTCAGCTGGGGCAATTGCCCTACCTCAGGTATATGTACCTCCGGCCTTGGCCGCATACTGTAAATAATAATCTACTAGCTGTTTATTGAAACTAAATTAAAATATAATAAAAAGGTTAAACACGACATGAATATAATTATTTCTCCATCTTTCCGTTGCGAAAAGATGGGGAAGATTAATTTCCTTCTTTTAGGGTCTGAGGGAGAGGGAGAGGGAGGCCCACTGTTCAGAATTAGAATGATATATGGGTAATATGAAACTTATAAAATTTGAACGAGAACCCCACTAATGCTAACCACGTACTAAGCACTAGTTCCACTTCATCTCCTCCTTAACTAATATTAATAATAATTTACACTGCATATAGTACCATCTTATTGGAATGATTGAAACCCCCACTACTACTCCATTTCATTGCATTATCGTAAATCCATCAGGATCTCTCTCTGTTTTTTTTATAATATGATAATAATTTCTCTACTCCTACATTACAAATACTTTTGTCAGCGAATAAGAGAGTAAGATTTTAGTATTTGGAAAATAAAAGGAATATGTTAATTAAAAAGAATATGAAGCACGAAAGAATATGACCTTGAAACTAATTAATGATTTGGTCCATTTGAGATTATTAATCAATAGAACAAACAGATTTTTAAAAGATATTGGGTTTACATTGATACATCAAACTAAAAACCATGTGAAGAATGGATTTGTTACATGCTGGCATCATTATTTTTCAACTACTGCATTTCTCAAAGGAAAATTGCCCCATAGAAATCCACGATTATCTTTTATTTTTATGAGGAAACAATTGTAACTTTATATTTTCGTTAGATACAAGACCAAAGATGAAAAAAAAAAAAACATTATTATAATTCGAGGTAGATAAACAACCTTATTATAATCCCTGAAAATGAAAATGGAGTTAGAAAATGTTGTCGTTTTAGGATGTGAAAACGACGAAAAAGTAACTGCAGTTAGTGCGCGCGTATAAGTAGAAGAACCTTGTGCTGAACTTTTTGACAAGAACGGCATTTCTATAGCGGTTTTGCCGTCCAAATTGTGGGGAATTTTTATTGCATCCCCTGAAAATGGAGGGATCGGAGAGCAGTATCGATAGCATTAATGAAGCTTATCGGCCGCTGGCTTCTCTTAACTTGGCTTTCATGTTCCTCTGGTTCGTCTCTGCCGCTTGTTGGACTATTAATACATACAAAAACCGCCACTTTCAGGTCTGTCATCATCTAATTGTTATGAAATTGTCTCTTTGTTCCAAAAGGGTTTGTTCGTTTGATGGCCGAAATTAATATTGCATATCTGCCTGCTGCAGAGTTGAATTTCAAGAACAGTTTTTTTTTTTTTTTGGTTTCTTCATCTTGTTTTTCTTCTTGTGGGGTGCAAGATTGTGTTTTTGTTTCTGTTACTGACTAATTTTCTGAACCTTGTGCTTGTTTTATGTTACTAGAACAGGCGAATAAACTACAGTGGACACTTGCGGCTGTTCCATTAATCAAGGCGTTGCAGCTGACCTTATCTTTTATCTTCTGGTTAGTCATCTTTGTAATTGTTTTAGTGTTAGTGCAATATGTTCCTTCATTTTGCCTCCTTGTTTTATTTTTTCCCCTTATGCTGTGTGCTTTCGTTTGATTGCTAATAAGCCATAGAAGAATGTTGATTTCATTGTTGAAGATGGTGTGTGTAAGAAGGACATAAGAAGGACATTGGTTGCAAGTTGTTTTTAATCCTTCAAGTGTTTGTTACTCGTATTTTAAAATTGATGGATGCCTTTGTCATCAGGTAGTTATTATCTGAACTTGCTTTTCTTATATAGGTATTCCTGTTTTTACCTCCAAGTTTGCTCCTTATGGATATCATTTGGGGTTTTTGTTACTGGAGCCCTCTTTCAAACTGTCACTTTTGTTGCGTTCCTGGTGATATCACATGGATATTGTATCACTTGCGAGCGTCTTTCCATCACAGAGAGGAGAACTTTAGCTTCTATTGGGTGTATATTCTACTTGACTCTTGTTGGTTACCGTGCATCATTACCGTATTTCTCTGTAAGTGTTTCGAAAATTGTTAGCTAAATGGTGGTCTTAGGCTTGTCTGTGAAATCCCTGTCTTTCCCTTTCTGATAGTCTTTTTTGTTTTATTCCGTATTAAATCAGTTTCCATGACAGGTACTTCTGCTGCTTAACTACTTCATCACATTCTACACGATTTTTCGTCATGTATCTCAAAACCTATCGCTACTTCGGGAACAGTTGATGATTATAGAAGATGAGGATGTTCATGCGATGCATGATGCGATCCTTACTAAGTACATCATGTTCAAGTATGCATTCTGAAATTTCCTTAGTTTGCTGTTATCTGGAGGAGATTGTGCCCTTTTTCTTTCTTTTTTTTTTCCCCCTTTTTTCCCCCCATTTATCTCAGATTATATCTCCTCCAGTGTAAGAACCTACAAATAGAAACTATTGAATAGAGAATTGATATCCTGTTCTCTATTTGATCGCGCAGGAAATTTCAAGGTGCAATGCACATTGTGGCTATGGCAGAATTTGCAGTAAGCTCATTTTGCTCCTTTCTAGTTCTGCATTAACCTTCAAATCTGTGTTGGAATTTCATATTTTTGGGTTTCAATATTCATTGCCATGTGCTATCTATTTGATGTTGGGTTCCAGATATTCATTAACATGGATAGTTCATTGGAGAACTATTGGGTTCGGTTGGTGGTTCGAGAATGGGCGCACTTGTGCATCTTTGCTTATGTCGGGTTGGTGAAAATTACATACAATTTTCAAGTTTATCCTTAAAGTTTGTGCAATTTGATGTGACAGCTTACAATCGTTATTGCAGATGGACTTTCCGGTCAAAAGACTTAGCGCCGCGTTTTTCAGTTATGCCTACTTTAAAGGATAAAGAGAAGAAAATGGTGCCTCCCATCTACCGCATTGTAAGTTTCAATAGCACCCTGTATTTGTACCCTATAATATAGCAAGAATTGTGACGGACATGTGTTGCCATGCTTTCCTTACAAAGATCAATGGTTACGTTCCCATGATAGCACATTTATTGCTCCCTTGTATTCTGACTTTGCCACTAATCTTGGTAATAAATCACATCACATTTTCCCAACATTTTATGCATACTTTGGCAGTACTCCTGAGACAGATCACTTTTTTTTGCATCTTGACATCCAAGTAGTGACTAAGTTGAATGAGAACTGGGTGGAAATTGAACACGTGCCCATAAGATGAGAGCTATGAATATAGGTCCTCATTGTTTTCTTTGTCGTACTGCTTTCTTAAATTCCAATTGTAGGAAATGGATGCAGCAACTTTTAAAGATTTCAGGAGTCGTGAGTGGCATATTGGCGTGGTAAGTTCGTGATTTCTCTGAGCTAAATATCATCTTTGCATTTTCTGAGATGTTTACACATTTTGTATCCTCATTCAAGGTGAATTTTCTTCACGTCAATCTTAACACAATGTCATTACATGTCTTTATTTTATAAATTGAAGTTTAGTTGCAAGTCAGATGATCTGCTTAAGACTTAAAGAGTCAATGCAGTTGTACTTGTATTAATTGGTAGACAGTCAGTTATCTACCTTGGAAGCCTATCTTGACTGCTAATCTCTGTAATCAACTAAATCCAGATCCCAGAAATTTGTTATGACCGTTGTTGCGCCCATTCTTTCTGAACATAGTCAATGAAGACTTATTAGCAACAAGTATCCATTACAAAAACTGTTCTTGCTCCAAGTTGGTTTTGCATGATTTGATCTTGTTTTTACTAGCTTTATGATACTTGTATATTCCAAATTTTTTTTTGCACTGAATCTCAATTTTGTGAATGTAGCCAACTTCTCCGGAGAAAGGTCGCTTTCAGGATTCAGTCTTAGTTGTGATTCAGCACCCTCACGTGGATAGGGCTAGGATGAATTCAGCAGCAGCTAGTACAGTGCCTGCTGTTTCTACCTCTAACCTGGCTAACAACCCTCACTTGTTCTCCATTGAAGAACAAAAAGAATTGAAGAAACACCGAGTATAGATACATTCGTGTATATATATACAATTCCACCGTACAAAAATTTTCTGCCTCCTTACGAAAAGATTAGATTGATTGATATTGATGCATCAGACATGTAGTCATTAACATGAATGCAGAGACCTCTAACTCCAGAGGCTCTTTGGTTGTTACGCCCAGGCCAAAAAGAAGTCTGGTCATTACACAGTGTATCTGTAACTGGATGTTGTATTTTTATACCTCATAGATGTTTCTTCATTGTAAACAATGCAGGAAAAGACACAATTGTTTTGCGGTGTTTTCAAATTTCTTAATGCAATTTATGAGCCCTTGTATACTACAACCTCCATTTCGGATTCCGAAATTATTGTCTAGTTTATATTTTTGTTTTTAGTACAAATTGATTGAACTAAAAATTAACAATTTACATAATGGACACTAATTTTAGGAAAAAGGGAGTATTTGGAAAAGTAGAAATAAAAAAAAAAATCATTTGCATTTTCTTAGCTTGTTCATTTGATGTTCCTTTTGAAAAAATAATTAGAAAAATATATACATATCACCGGGGAATATCCAATTTTGGGCCTGTTACCAGGTTGTAGGAAAAATATTGGGCCAAAAGCCCATGAATGTTTCCTTGGAGATGTGGCTGGGTCTCCGATTAGTCCAATATGGAACTTGGACGAACATGGCAAATTGGCAATGATTTGAAACTGTTGTGAATGAAGGAATCGCAGAAGAGAGGGGCGTAGTAGTTCCTAAATTGTAATCGAAATTTCGGCATGAGCGCTGGTAAGCTCTCTGTTCTTGCTAGAAAGGCTACTGTTGTTTTTTTTGTAATGGCTTCGTTTTTCCGTCCCTCATCGCTATTTCGGAAATTGGGATTTTCTTGGTTCTGCCCTTTTAGCTGTAGTTTACGGTGATTTTCTCATATTTAGCTGTATCCTTTTGTATTATTCTCTTTTAAACGTTTACTAAATGCTTTAGTATTAATTTATTTTGTCGCTTTTTTTTTTTTTTCCTTAGCTTTTGTATCATGAAATCCATGATGATTTGCTGAACCTTTCTAAGAACAATTACATCCACGCACTTTGGGTTCTTCTTTGCAGTTTGAGAAAGATTTAAGCAGTTTTAATTATTACTTAGCCTGTATGGTTTCGTGTTAGTTTTTGAGTTGTTCATTTTTAGTTAGTAAATTTGGTTTTGACAGGGCAACAGATATCAGCTTATGGACATAACTTGTAATCTTTTGTTGTGGTGTTCATCAACTAGGTTGATTTTTGGATGATTTGTGGATTGCATTTAATGCTTAAATATTTCTTTTTCTTTTTTTTTTTTTTTGGCTGTCCTTTTACTCTTCAATCAGTTTATGATATGGATAGTCGTTTAAGTGTTTGTGTTGAGTTTGCAACATCTAAAACACGGTGCTGGTGAGTCTCTTTCCAGGCTTTGTGTTAATCTTGATCGTGCATTTTCTTTTTTCTTGCTTGTAGGTGGTGCATTTGGTGGCAACAGAGGGGTGAGGCCTGTCCCTCCAGAGAAGGGAGTCTTCCCTTTGGATCACATGCATTTATGTGACCTGGTATGGTTCATCAAGGATGTCTTTCTGCTGTTAAATATTCCTTCCATGTTGCATTAGTAGTTGGAAAACACTGTCTTGAGCTATCTTAGCCCTACTTAGCTCTGTGTCTTGTTGCAGGAGAAGAAAGAATACCTCAATTGTCTTAAATCCTCGGGTCATAAATCCGAAAAATGCCGCCACCTCTCCAAAATTTATCTGCAATGCCGTATGGAAAAGTAAGCAACATGGTTCCGAAGCTTGCTTTATACTGTATATTTCTTTTTCATAGCCATAGTTACGTACCTATTAGATCATATTGTGCCTTAGCCTTTCACATTTTTCGCATTTTCCAATTAGTTCATTATGGAATTTCAACGAACATTTTCAATATGGGAATGGCTTGAAACTATCGGGAATTTAGAAGATTTTGCCACCTGGGAACTGTGCGGATGAGCTACTTACTGATTGTCTAAATGCCGCCAATCTGAATCTTCCTAAATATGATAAAAGAGCAGCTCAACTGGCTTGTTGAGAATCTTGTTTAATGAGATTGAGTAGTCAAAGAATGGGGAGAGGTGTTCTTAGATCATTATGCTCATGTACTCCTATGTCCATCCTGTATATGTTGCTCTCTAGACAATCTTTTGTAATTTTGATGTAGCCAGATATGATGCTATGCTGTAAAGAAGTCAAATTGCTTATGAAATTACATGATCCGAGAAAAGGAACTTTGTTGGGTTGCATGTCTTTGAGTCTTAATGCTTTTGTTTATCAATTGTCATTAGGTATGTTCAAAGCTAGTTAGGATGGAGTTTTGGGGCTGTAAAGTGAGTTTTAATGTGTTTTTACATACAGGAACTTGATGGCAAAACAGGACATGTCGGAACTGGGATTTGGAAGGTAATCTGGGACAGAAGCCATTCAAGATGCAAGTGAAAATGGTAGGTTAGATGACTAAGACCTGCACTGCTAGGTTTGAAACTGAGAAGTCGCTTACTGAACGTATATGTATGCATTAGTATTGTATCATTTGAGTTAGATATTCTTTTTCGGTGTAACATGTAGACTAGTCGATACAGATGATAATTGGTTCATGGTACCAACCAGTTTGTGATTTGGACTTGTTCAGAAATTGGGATTTTGACTCATGTATGAGAGTTCAAATTGCAAAATTTTATTAAGATCTTTTCACTTTTTAATATGTCAACTTTTCATAGCTCGTCCTCGTGCTGTAAAGTATCTTCTCACTTATTTTTTGAATTCTAGTCTGATGAAAACGAAACAACCATGCAGTTCTAAAAATCTGTAGAGACTCTTGTGCGTATAGTTGTGGGAGATAATAAGCTTGTCAAGCATTTCTATTGTAACGGATGCGTAAGCACAAAGTTAACAGCACATTGCCATCGCTGGCTTAGGTCAAATGTTTTGGTGGTGAAATCTATGTAGTTATGTAGACCTTGAAGAAACTTATACAGTAAATTAATTGAGCTAAACATGTGGAGCAGTGTTCACTAAATTGTTTATTTAAGATGGGCCTAATCAGCAGTGCCCTTCAAGTTTTCAAGCTTTTGTCTCAAACTTCTTGAAGGGAAATCCAGAATGGCTTCCTAGTTTCTGTGTAGACAAATCTGTCGGTTGCTTGCTTGAATGGGTGAATTAACCATACTGCAACCGAAAAGCCAACCAGAAAGATATTGATGTGTTTCCTCGTGGGAGTTTATTTCAAGAACTTGGGCTTACTAAGCAGTCACTTTGTACTAAATATTATAATGATTCTTGTGAAAGTGGATGAACTTTTCACCTCGATGGATTCGCTCCAACCAAGTTGTTTATATTAGCAAAGTTGGGTTTTCTTCCATTTTCTTCTCTCTTGGACTTCCCTTCTTCCCATGGCTTCCAATTTGTCTCTGCCTCCAGCCTTCATCCAGAACCCGTAAGCTGCTGCTTCTTCTTCTTCTTCTTGTTCTTCTTTTATTGAAATGGTGAACCCGTAAGCTATGTTTTATTCTTACTCTTTTGATGGGGTGATCCTCATTTCATTATTTCTGTGTTTTGTTTTTCTGTAAAGGAAACCAACAAAGGAAAATGGAAAAAGCAAATGTGATTTCAGCTCCCTGTTACCTAAATCATCCTCATTAATTGGTGATTGATGTAACACCCTCCAAGAAAAGAATAAATAAATCAAAGAGAAGTTGTTGTTTCTTATAATTTTTTAGTGTGCCCACTTTAATTTCTCTTGGATGATTTCTAATCATCATGGCAAGATACTATTGCAGCAAATTTGTCAATGCCACTATGCCTGTACAGTCTGAAACGAAAATGAAGATAGGGTTTGGACATGACCATAACATTGTGAACTGGTTTTCAATTCCAGTTATTTCAGAAACTTCAGAATAGTTTGGTTTCACTGAAATTCTTAATTCTTGTGTTCCAGGAATATGAAAAGATCCTATTCCCAGACACTATGCCAATCAAATTTATTGAGCGTCGGAGAGCATCAAAAGGAACATGGTCCGGCTAAACCTGATACATTTCTAGGATTACGGTTTTTCTCTTGGGGGTCAAGAACCAAAGCAGCTGCAACTAAATGGATGGCTCCAGGTGCCCTGTCATCCACGGATTGGACTTTGCAATCTGATAAAATCTGCTGCGAGGATGAGTCTTCTGCAGCTATTACTCGTGTTCATGAAATGGAATTCAATCGGGTAAACTGTCTTGTGCAGTTATTGCATGAATCCGCTAGAGGTTTTTCACTGGATGTACAGGCACATGACTTGGTTATTGCAGAACCAGAGCTAGCTATGGCTTGGAGAGGGGTTGACGTGCATGCCTGGCATAGGAACATAGCGTACCAGGTTTTATAATTAGTGAAATTTATTTTCTTGTATATGATCATGGATCAATGCGAAATATCATAGATTTATGAAAAATATGAATGATACTCCATATAAGGTAAATTCAAGAAATGGAGTGAAAATGAATCTAGATGAAATGATTGCTAGGTGAGAAGTTGACATATCATAACTTATTTGATATGGCTGTACAGGTATCAGTTTATGCTTTGCTGAAAGCCGCAATTGAAGTAGAAACCTTTCTATCTCACAAACGCAGCAACAATCCATCTCTTGTCCAGGAGATGTAAGTTCTAAGTTAAGTTGTAACTGTCATTGAACTTGGAAAATGTGATTGAATTATGAAATTTGCTCCTGCTAGTTCTGAATCTTGCTTTCATTTTGCATCATCATATTTTGATTCAGCTTTGTAAAGTTTTTCTGGATTGGCATCTAAATGTTTTAGATCTGGCCTCAGAATTCCCTGCATTATATTATTTACTTCATTACTCGAATGGCGAAAGAATTTATGTCTGCAGTTTTTTGAAAAATTGATTCTGCTTTTTGTCAGACTGTCCTTGAAGGCTCACTTACTTTATGCCCAGATAGAAAGGGAGTTGAAAACTAAGAATTCGAAGTTAGTGCAGTGGTTTAAATTAGTGGAACTGCCACGCATTTCTGAACAATTCATCCCTTTGTTTAAGAAGTGGTCAATGGAATATGCTGGAAGGTTTGTTTCTTGTTCCAATTAATACTTCATTGCCGATCAAACTCCAACTATCAAGTTTTTCCTAATGTGGTTCTAATAGATGAGGCCTGATTGGCAAAATTGAAGTTTTATATGACATAAAACAAAATTCAGTGGTGTTGCAGGAACAATTCTGGCTTTAAGTTGTTTTGCTGCAATAAAGAAGCTGGACTCTCAACGAATTTCGCGCCCTATGTTATTTATTTCGATTGAAGATGCATTAGTAAACCTCATTAGCTCGACAGAAGGTCTTGTTTCAGTGAATAAACTGCATCAGTTTGCTTGTGAAGCCGGATTTGAACAGGATTTCTTGTTGCATTTTGGTAGGAGGATTCTTCCTTCTAAGAGTGTGGAAGACTTGGAGTTCTGGATTGGGTTGGTGGAAAGAAAACTATCTACAGCATTCCAGAGAGAGAGTTTAATCACAGTGAATGACGAAGTTGGCCTCATTTTCCTCCTGATGTCTCTTACTCTCTTTTCTCCTAAACGATTAAAAAGTGTTAATGAGTTGCAAGTGTCCATTCACATAGCTGAATAGAAACTTGCTACATAATATGAACCAATGTTCTATGTTTTTGCATACTTATGCTTATCTTTCATTTTATTCCAGGTTAAAGAGAATAGTTTGACTACTTTGGGACTTTTTGCTTATCTTGGAAGAGAAACAAGAATATACCTTTCAAGAATGGGCATAAAGGATCTGAATGAGCATTGTCAAAATTTCTTGAGGTATATCTCTCTACACAACATAAATGAATCTGGCCATATACATACACTAGTGGTACTTATGTGCAATTTCCGTACAGTTACTTGGAATGCGGTAGCATGCTTATACACCCTAATCTTTCAACCATGTCGGAGTATCATCTCTTCATGGAGGTGAGCTACGAAGTCTTTAAATTCAGATGCGCATCTCCATATAAGTGGAATAGTTGGATCATTCAATATCCACATTTGCTAAATTTGTTCTACAGGTGGTAACTGATGAGATAGGATGGCTTCATTTCTATCCCCTGGTTAGTTTGGAATGGTGTCAACATAAGAGGAAATCCAAGCGGCAAATGACACAAGCAGAGCAAGAGATTATTCTGTACCGAGTTCTTACTGCATGTTATGATGTTATCTCTGGGTTTGCTCACTACAGCAATTCAACACAACAACCGATGAACTCATATTTGTTAGAGTTCTTACTTAATAGGTAGTTAATGTTTTGTATTTACTAATTTTTCCCAATGCGCTGCATAGTTTAATTGTATTTTCAACTCACTTTATGTCAAAATTTGTATAGTCAGAGCCTGCTGTCGACGTGCATGGACTATTACTGGGCAGCTTTTGATAATTTAAGGTTTGAGGTTTGACTGCTTAGCAAAACATTTATGACATATGCTTATGAGAGAAACCACACTAATTTGGATTATTTTCTGAAGCAGTGAGCCACAGAAACTCCTAGAAAGAGGCATGTTTAACTCAATATTGGAGTCACCAGCAGAGGGCACACCGAAAATTTGGTCCCAAAGTGGAACTCACTTTGGATCTAGAGTAAATCAGGTAAATTTTGAAACTATCTTAAAATACATGTAACTAAATTCATCAGATCCAGGAAAGGAAATAGGATGATTTAAACATTGCTTTCACTGTGTCCATCCATTTCTGTTTCCAAGTTATGTGAATGATAATTTTGAACAGGCAACTGGCACATCTAGTGAGGATGTAGTTACCTTGAGAGAGTTGGATTCTTCATCTGCAGAAAAGCTTCGGGAAGAAAACTTCCTTAAGAAATCTTCCAGGAAGGCAATATCAACAAGTGTAGTGAGTACAGAAATTCAGTGACATTATGCTTTCATTGACTGCAATATGCTACTGTATTGTGCAGCTAATGATGGAACTATTGGCTGCTAGAATGCATGGATGGGTACTCAATTGCTTTTCGTAGACATGATTGAAGTTGTTGAGCTATTGAAGAAGCAAATCCGTGGCTGCAAAATGACCAAAAGAGAGAAGAAGAAAATAAAGAGAACACTAGCTGATTTTGCTACCCTTGTGCCAATATTGATATTGATGCTACTCCCGGTAAGCCTGAGTTTGCCAATCAATGGCTGCAATCTTGCTCTTTCTTCAAAGATCATATGGTTTCTGCTTCGTGCACTGCAATGAGCTTAACGATTTAACAGATGCATTCGCTTCTTCCATTATTAGGTGTCAGCTGTTGGCCATGCAGCTATGCTGGCAGCAATCAAGAAGTACCTGCCATGTTTGGTATGTCATTTTCAACATTCAATCTTCACATATCTAGCAATGCATGCATTCTGTTTATGGCCTTCAATTTGCTTACCATCAGTGTTGCTGTATTTGTATCATCAGATTCCATCGCCTTACACGTCCGAACGGCTTGGTATGGTGAAACAACTGAAGAGAATAAAGAAGCTGGAACTTCCAAAAAGGGGCAAGAGCAACATCGAAGATGTACATCCTTAGTTCACTGCCAATCAAATGTATAACCAAACTCTTGATTTGCTCATCAAGAAATGCAATGCAGCTGATGGCCGGTCTCCAAATGGATGATGCTTTCCTTGCCAAAGAGAGATTGTTTACTGGAAGGGGAACTGCAAAGTAGAATCTATATTACATAGTATCTCATTTTTCTTGGTAATGTTTCTTGTAACATTTTTGCACATGTATAGATCCGTTTGAAAAATGGAAAATAATAAAAAGTCTTACTATACGTGTTTGTATAGAAAGAAAAAAAAAATCTACTAAATGGACTTAATCTATGAGCCAAATGTAGAAATTAAAAAGGCAAAATGGTAATGATAGTGAAAAATATATAGTGAAAAAAATACAGTGACTAAAGTTTATTCATTTTTTATTAATTAGACACATCAATTACCGTAGTTATAAAAAAAAAAAATCAATTACCGTAAATTTTCACTATATTTTTTCATCACTAAAAAAAATTATCCTTCTGTGTGCGATTTGTGCTTTGGTGTTTGGGCCGTGTCCATTTATTAATCTGTAGCCTCTGGATTAATGATTAATCAACTATTTCGGGCCTTCGCCTTAAATCGAGCCCAATATCTTCTTACGTAGATCCAATTTTTTTCTGCGAACCCACAGTACGCCAGCAAATTCTACACAAATCTTGCAAACCCACACATATCCCCAGAAGTCCATCGCCGGCGAGCCATAATAGCTCCTGCCGCCGGAGCCGGTTTTCGCCACCCACATCTCCCCTCAAAAGCGAGAAGAGAGAATGAGTGGGAACTCACTCTGGCATCAGTTTTGGCAAATCCCTCTGTTCTTCCGCCACTCTAAAGGTTTGTTCTTGGTTTCTCCGAGGCTTGTTTGTTCTGTGCCTTGCTTTTGTACGCATTTGCAGTTTGCAGCTTATTAATGCCCGGTTTATGCGTGGAAGCTAGATTTCTTTGTTTGGAGAGAGAATGAATTTGCTGTTCTGAGCTTTGATTATTTTTTTTTGCCATGTTAATTTGCCAAATTAGCAAAAGGATATCTCGTACAATGATTTCTCAGCTCAATAATCTGGTATACTATCCTCCTTGTTTTGAGGCAGCATTACCTCTGCGTTGTCCTCCATCCTTTAGGTCCACAACAGTGAGAATACAGTGTTTCCGACACCCGGGTTCGCCTTCAACTAATCCTAAAGTTTCAATACCTGAATCTCAAAAAACTGTGTCTGTTGTTCCTGTCTGTAAGATTTCGAGAGTTGCGAGAAATGATGCTCAGGCGGCTTTGTTTGACTACTTGCATTATACCAGGGGCTTCACTTATGTTGATGCTGAGCATATTTGTAAGAATTCGCCCAATTTTATTCAGGATTTGGTTGCCAAGGTGGAGAATGAGCCGGATGTATCCAGGGCATTATCCAAGTTATTCAGATACCATCCTATAAATGAGTTTGAGCCATTCTTGGAGAGTTTGGGATTGAAACCATCTGAGGTCTCATCATTGCTGCCATCCAACTTAATGTTTTTGGAGGATGGTGATATGCTTCTTCACAATTTTCATGTTCTTTGCGATTATGGGATTCCCCGTAGTGAAATTGGGAAAATATACAAGGAAGCTATCGAAATATTTAGTTATGGGTTTGGGGTATTAAGTACCAAAGTAATGGCTTATGAGAATTTAGGACTGAGTAGACCAACGGTTATAAAGCTGGTGACTTGCTGTCCTTCTATTTTGGTTGGTGATTTAGATAAAGAACTGGTTGAGATTCTTGATAAGCTTATAGGATTGGGTTTTGACAGGGACTGGATCGGAGGATATATGTCTAGTAAAAATACGTATTGTTGGAGCAGGATGCTTGCCACCATAGGTTTTCTCGTTGAAGTTGGCTATGATGAGGGACAGATTGAGAAATTGATTAGGAAGAATCCAGCAATACTTTTTGAAGGTTCAGGCAGGCAAATGTACATATTGATAGGTTGTTTCCTCAAATTGGGGTTGAAGATGAAGGAGGTATATCCATTATTTGTGGAAAATCCAGAGATTCTATCTCCAAAATGCACTGAAAATATTTGGAAAGCATTGCATTTACTGTTTGAAGTTGGACTGGAAACAGAGAATATTGCAAAAATTGTGAGTTCCCACATTCAGATTTTAGCATCACATGCTTTGATAGGACCGAACACGGTATTGAAAAAGTTTGGTGGTGACAGGCAGAAACTACTAAAAGCTGTAAAAGGAGACCCCTCGAAGTTTTTCACCTTGGCGTCTAAATCTAACGTAAGCAGCGTCGAGCAGTTGAATGCAAAGAACCCAGGCCTGCTTTTGGAGAAAACTACATTTCTAGTGAAATTAGGTTACGTTGAGAACTCAGATGAGATGGCAAAAGCATTGAAGAAGTTTCGCGGCAGAGGAGATCAGTTGCAAGAAAGATTTGATTGCTTGGTAGAAGCTGGATTGGATTCCAATGTTGTATCAGATATGATCAAACAGGCCCCAACAGCTATAAACCAGTCAAAGGATGTACTCGAGAAGAAAATTGATTTCTTGAAAAGCTCAGGCTACCCTCTTGAATCACTTGCATCATTTCCCTCGTACCTTTGCTATGATATAGAAAGAATTCAACGTAGATTTAGTATGTATACATGGCTGCTAGAAAAAGGTGCAGCCAAACCAATGTTATCTCTTAGCACACTTCTTGCTTGTTCAGACGCACGCTTTATGAAGTATTATGTCGATGTGCATCCTGAAGGTCCAGTGAAGTGGGAAAGTTTAAAAGGTCAATAATGTTAATCAATGAAGTAGTTCGAAGAGTTCTCAAATCAAAGAGCATTCTTGATTTTTGTAGTTTAGTTTATTTTTTACATTTCTATCCATGATATTTTGTGCATAAAGATGATAGGCCCTGAAGTTCTATCAAATAGAAGTTTTCCTGATTTGGTTGTTGAAGTTGCAACTTTACCACTTTGATGTGAGACCATGACACGGATTACTTGTTTACCTTCTGTCCATCAGCTTCGCATTTCATCCCTGTTTCTTGTTGTAAAATGTTTTTGTCTGTTGAATTATGCTCAAAGTATGGTGGGAGTTTTGGAAGGCTAAATAATATGGATGAGTTGGAGATCGCTAGATATTGCCTGCCCTTGATTCGCTGCACTAGAAAGAAGGGTTCTCTACATTTCAACCTGCTGCAGGGGATGTATAATGGCAGAAAGATCATCTCAGCATATCTTTTCAGATTCTGTAACTTCCAAGTTAGTCTGGAGAAGTTTAAATTTGGGGTTTTGATCGTTTGTTGAGGGTGAATAGTTGAGAGTGGATGAATAACTGCCTTTTGGCAGCTCCTCACAAAGAAATAATACAACTCTCATTGCTCAAGAGTCTCTGTGGAAGGTAAGAAGGCTGATATGTGAGATGAAAGGCTACAAGAACCAGGGTTTTTTCTTTGTTCTGTAAATCATGAAGTAAACAAAGAATGGAATTTCCTCAACAAATGTGCTTCTTACAACTAGGATTTAGCATGCCTAGTCTTGATCCTGATAGCGATGCAGATAGAGTTGAGATTGATAGAAAGAGGGAGCACTTCACCAGATTTGATGTTGCTTTCAAGGAGAGAGAGAAAGCAGCTTGAGAGATTATAACAAAGCCAGGCCAATGCATCAAAGCTTTTGCATTAATAGTCCATTCTCCAAACAAGCTGCTCTCTTTTCTTTGCCAAGGAAGATTGCTTACTGAAAAATCTGCTTCTTTGAATTTGGAAAAGGGAAATGCACTAGGCACCCATTTTCCTGACTCCTTATGGTTTTAGGATGTTTGGCTGGAAACCTGAGAAATATTTTTAATTATCATTATACAGAAAAAGCAGGTGTGCAACTCGGTAACCATGAAAAACGCATTATCTGAGTTGTATCATTATTGTGTACGTTAATGCTTTAAAAATATCCCTTTTACCCTATTAAAGCAGAATACAGGATGTTGATGTGCCAACTTCTTATTAAAAGATTTTGACTCTAAATGCACCATATTGCATTAACCATTCTGTCACATCTCATCCCTTTTTAAAAGAAAAAAAAAACTTATTATCCGGAGAAACAAAAGCTACTTTACAAAAATAACTACACAATTTTAATTCCTAATCCCTTTTACCCTATTAAAACAGAATACAGGATGTTGATGTGGCAACTTCTTATTAAAAGATTTTGGCACCATATTGCATTAACTATTCTGTCACATGTCATTCCTTTTTAAAAGAAAAAAAAAACTTCTTATCCGGAGAAACAAAAGCTACTTTACAAAAATAACTACACAATTTTAACTCCTAACACTTATTATTTATCAATCAAATTAAGATAACATTTAAATTTGCCCATAAACTTATTCCCTTTATTACTCTACATTCTTTTATATGATTTCTGTATCGTTGTACTTTTCAATATTTTTTCTCCTTTTGCAGATTTTTTTTATTTTTATTTTTATTTTTGGCTAAAAAAGGGAAAAAAATAAATGTGTAGCTATTTTATTTTTTCCAAATCAAAAATTCATTTATCTATTAACACAAAATTAAAGTAGAGTGGGCGCTCAAACATCTGCCCGGACCAAGCGTCTAGTTTTTTATACTACTAATGTTAATAATGTTTATATATGAACTTCAATTTTCTAATCACTACTACTTTCGGCCTAAATGAAGAAATGGCAGTGGTTCCTGTCTGTAAATGGTTTATGATTGGGCCTAGATTTAAGCTGATCTCAACTGCACCATTTCGAAATCGAAATCTTTGTAGCCCAACTTTAAGCCCATCCTTTGCAGAATCAAGCTCCCCGCAATACCCAATTCCTGCAAAACCCTCCAGCAGTCAACCACCGGTGCCATAGCTCCTGCCGCCGGAGCCCGTTTCGACCACCCATATCTTATCGATTCTCCGCCGTATCTCAGCCTAACATAGCGGCTGTAGAGGAAGCCTGGCTCTTCGACTCCGGCTCCTTTCCGACGACCCAGCATTTTCTACGGCGAAGATAAAGTTCCTCCCGGGGGCAAGTGGAAGAATGGGCAGGGACTGGAACATCCATATTGAAAATTATTAGCCTTGGTGTTTTGAGCCCGAATTGGATTTTAACGTTACAATCTCAGGGCAGTGCAGTAAGTGATTAGGAGGCGAGAAGAGAGAATGAGCGGGACCTCAATCTTGAATCAGTTATGGCGTATTCCTCTGTTCTCTCGCCATTCGAGGCCTCGTAAAGGTTTGTTGTTAGTTCCTTCAAAATTCATGTATTCTATGCCCTATTTTTGCAAGCATATTCAGTCTACAGCTTATGATGCTGTTGTGCGAGGAAGCTATGTACCCGCTTCCGTAGAGGAGACGAAAGTGAAGGATGAAGTGAAAGAGAAAGAAAGAAAATCAAAAGCTTCATCATCTGAAAAAGGTACTAATGTTGGTGCATTTCAGAAGCTCCCTATGGTAATCCCTTCAGTTGATATCTTATCTTCAGCTCTTAAAAAGGCGAAAAGGGTTTCACCAACACAGGGAATTAGTAATATTGCAAAACGAGAAAGAAACCGAGCTGCAAAACAGCTTGATGCATTAATGAAGGAATTAGCTGTTCCTCTGAGGACATACAGAGAAACTTTCCCGAATAAGAGATTTCTGCATCCATATGAGAGATCATTAGTTGAGTTAACTCTTGGAGAGGGAAACTATGAATATGTGTTGGGAAAAGTTGATGACTTGAGGAAAAAAGTGAATTCAGTAGGAAAGGAGCATGCTGCAATTTGTGCCAAGTCAATGACAAAGCGAGAGGCTGAGGAGAATTTGGCTGCAGGGGTGAATAAACTCGAAGGGATTTTTCAGCAAGAAGGGAAAATTGTTGATGAGTTGCTCACCATTGCTAAGACTTTGCGGGCAATGCCGGTTGTTGATTTGGAAACACCAACTCTTTGCCTTGTTGGAGCTCCAAACGTAGGAAAGTCATCCTTGGTTCGCATACTTTCAACCGGGAAGCCTGAAATTTGCAACTACCCTTTCACCACTAGAGGAATTTTAATGGGTCATATTAGTTTTAGCTACCAGAATTTCCAGGTTACAGACACACCAGGTCTGCTGTGCAGAAGTGATGAAGAAAGGAATAATTTGGAAAAACTAACACTTGCTGTCCTCACTCATTTGCCAACTGCTGTACTCTATGTTCATGACCTTACTGGAGAATGTGGAACCTCAGTATCCGATCAGTTTGTAATTTACAAGGAAATCAAGGAAAGGTTCAGTGACCATCTTTGGATCGATGTTGTGTCCAAATATGACCTATTTCAAGAAAAAACTCCGGTTATTTTTGCTACTGAAGATCAGAGCAAGGATGATGATGAACTTGCCAAGTACAGGAAAGAGGGACCTGATGGAGCCATTCGAGTATCGGTGAAGAGTAGTCTCGGGGTTGATGAGTTGAAGAGTAGAGTGCTTGAGATGCTTACCTCCCAGGTCAACAGGATTCAGGTTCAAAACAGCAGCGACCAAGAACAATTGGAGGAAACACGTAAGTGGCTTTAAAGCACAAGAACACCCAGACCAATGTGTGTCATTCTATCAAGATGTGCAATTGAACCGCTTTATAGATACCAGTTTGCTTCTTGATGGCTTTGTTGATAGTGGCACTGTAAACTTAGATTGTGCTCTTGGCAGCAGTTGATGAATCCACAACTTAAGACTTGCAAATTCTACAGCATTTGATAGATAACTTGTGAATGTTAGTAGGGTTGAAAATTTGAAATAGCTCGGACAATCATTTCGTCCTTGGGTGCTTTTCTACTTAAGAGTGTGCATGCGCGCTCATTCAGGCTCTGTTTTGACCCTGAAGTCTGAAGACCTTGATTTTATTTATTTTCTTTGAGCACGAAGACCATTTATTTATTCTTCAAATTACTCTCCCACTTATTTTGCTTTTAAGTGCGTTGTTAAGACATTTTACACACGTGCAAGTAAACTGCAAATGTGATTAGGATACAAGTAGTATATGAAAATCTGTGTTTATACAACAATTTATATACTCCCTTCGTCCCATGATTATTGTCCATTTTAGATGTTCGTTTCTAGCTCTAATTGTACTAAAAATGAAATCTCAAACTGGACAATAATTTTGGAACATAGAGTATATTTATTAATTAGATTGACCTGAAAGAATTAACAAATATGAAAATTACAATCGGATCCTACCTATCTAATCTAAATCAGCCGACTTCATTATGCTACAGCACTTTCAAGATTCGCTTCATCAAATTCATCAAGCATCACCTGATCCCTAAACAGAAGCTTAACAAAGGGAACAACTTTGGGAAGTAAAGGCAAATCAGCCAAATTTACACTCATCATATCGAAAGCTATGCATGTGTTATGCGAATGGGCTTCATCAAAAACTGGAATTTTGGGATATCTTTGACTAAAGTGTGTTAGAATTATGCGATATGCTCCGGCCGAGTCGCCAACTTGGACAGCTTCTCCTGTTGTGCTGTGATTTCTGGCAACGGCTTCCTCCAGCATGCCATCTTCAAATGTTGCCTTCAGAGCAAACAAACAACCGGGTCAACATCACAGGACTACTAATACAATGACGACAAAAATTCCACTACGTAAAGCCAGCTAATTGGATCATATACTGTCGTCAAATATCAAAAATCACGAAACGGAGAAACAAAATAGAAACATTGTAAGGACACAGATAATTACCTCGTGAATAAGAATGGTTGCTCCATTTGCAGCTTTCACCAGTTCTGGACAAGGTCTAGTATCCCCCGAGTACACAATCTTCCATCCTGGAATTGTTTTCCCGTCACCATTCACTCTGTTTGCAGACTTGAGGACAACACCAAATGCCTGTGGACAATGAACTACAGGAAAACTCATTAAGGTTTCTAATCCTGCTTCTCCGAGCACCTTCATTAATGTCTTCAAAATAGGATAAACCACAGCATTTTCGGTTGAACTGCTAGGCAACTTGAAGTAACTCTGCATGCGGCTTCCTTTAGCAAACAGTGTGAGGTCAATCTTTCGATCTTCATTCATATCCATTACATTATCACCATTTACGACAGTTTTTGGAACTATATCAAGTTCATTCAAGGATGATTCAGTGGTATGCCTACAGTCAAGAAATACCATATCCAGATCCTCAAGTCTCTGGTATGCATCTAAGAATCTCTTAAGCTGCCTGGGACCGACAACAAGCAAAGGTTCATGGGGTAACCCCTTCAACAACTCTCGTCTAAGGGCCAGTATTCTTGCAAGGCCAGTATGGTGATCCGCATGAATATGAGATATCCATATACACCTCAAACCTCGGATGACATCATCAGCACCCTCAACACCGAACCTGTTTTGACCCCAAAAAAAGAAAGAAAAAAGAAAAAAATTTAACCCTGATGTCAACAAAACAATACTAACAGGAAGGAAAAGATCATAAAATATAACCTCCTTTTCAGCTGGCCCAAGGTTCCTTCACCGCAATCGAAAAGTAAACTCCCTTTGGAGAAAAGATTGACCAAAATAGAACTGACATTTCTGTATTTTGAAGGCTGGGATGACCCAGTCCCAAGGAGAACAATCTCAAGATCTTCTCTTGATATGTCTTCCAAACAATCAGGATGTTCATCCTTTTCTTCATTCAATAATTGACCAGATAGCCCATGTGGGTCCTCCATGCTCGGTTTTCCATCCCTGAGCCAAAGCTGGGAAACATGGTCCGAGGCATCAGCAATCTCTGGTATCTCTGTCATTAGCTCATCAATTATTTCCGAGTGAGATACTCTTTTAGGAACACTAGATCTGTCTAAGCCAAGTTGTGCATATGGACGCAAGTTAAACTGCATACAAACCCAAACAAAAAAACCATCAGATGATGCCACACAACATCAAAGGAAAGAGAACCACTAACACATAAAAACTGAGATTATTGCATGTTCACAGAAACCAAACGTACAATTAGAAGAGTTGTTTAATACATGTTATTCATATTCTCATAGCCTGATTATGGTGGTGTATCAAGCACATCTTAGTTTCTGGAACAAGAGTCAAAGACCAAAAAGTAAGTTCTTGTCAACCCTCGCGCGGATTATACCTTGAGGAGATTCTCTGCAGGAATGGTTTCACACTGCCCCGACAAAAGACCCTGTCAGCAAGAAGGAAATTTAAATGTTGTAAAGATTAACTAAACCTTTGGAAATTCCAGTTGCCCCATAATCTTTGCTATTGATGAAATGAAAACAGACCTCTCCACATGCGGTCAAGCCTGATGGTATGTTAAGGTGCTGATGAGACCAGAAGCCAGGAGCAGGAAAGAACTGCGGGCAAAGATAGTTCAGCCTTGCTGCAGTTTTAGCACTGGCTTGTAGGATAGGAAACTCAATATTCCTCCTGTGACAAGAAGCACAACTCTTCCAACATTAAAACCAAAAAAGTGTGAACTCCCTCAGACATACGATTGGATACATGAAAATACCAATAGAAAACTTACATTTCATGCCCTGCCATGATGTGCTGGGCTCCAGAAAATCTTGACATCCACTTTTGATAGTCTGTTGTATTTGTGACATGTGAAGGACTTAGGTGGATAACACAATTTACGGCTTTGGACGTATGAGATGAGTCACCAGATGTATCTGTATAATAAGCGGATAGAGATTGTGCAGATGACATGTCTCTAAGATGCATCAATGTTGGGCAGTCTACAAGCAGTACTATTGGACCAGGAACAGAAGGACCCATGACGTCACTTGGGTGAACCTATATAATGTATGTTCAACAACTTTTAATAGCTTCAGGAGGCAAGACTAAAAGGCAACATTAAACACGCTAGTCAACCATACCATAATATTCTGACGATCTGACTTTACTGAGTTTCCAAGCTGCAGTTCCCGAAACTTTGGTCCAGGTTTCAAACCAAGAGCGGCTGCTTTACTGGGGTCAAATTTCCCCTGAATTTCAGGCAATTCACAGATATATATCACAGCGAGATCACCAGGCTTCAAGGTAGGCTCAGCTGTTAGTTCAGATCTGAGTGTGGTTGAGGATCCTTCATTCATCACAGCAGTCGGACTTGGTCTTGAGAGAACAGCTGATAACTTGATGACTTCATCATTGATAAGAACTAGAGGTTCACAAAATTGGTCTTTGGCAATGGAATCGGAGGCAGGACCAAAGCTGCGTGTATGAACCATTGCAGCATTTGGAATGAATGATTTCATTGCATCAACTAAATACTTCAGGTCAGATGGGCCCCACACATTTACCTTCAAATAAAACATAAAAAATAAATCATTTTTGAAGGGTTGTCATTAATCTCATCAAAGCCCCGTGCCAGCCTTAATTTCTTCATTAAGAGTTTGCTATGAGAAAAGTTATGGTACATACAGACATTCCCTCGTCACCCATCCCGGCTAAAGTCAACAAGAGCCCTGAAAGGAAAATAGAACTCAGGAGTTGAGTTATTCAAGAAAAAGATACTTCCCTTTTCAATTTCAATTACAAATCCTGTTAATGACCAACCTGGGAGTCCACCCGCAGTTTCCGAGCAGACACGTGAGAGAAATATATGATCAATCTACAAGAATCATAAACAAACAGTATAAGATCATGTATATAGGACAAACAAAGAAAAGCTTAGTTACAATGGCTACATTCAGAAACTAAAATTCGAAAATACCTTTGACAGCTTAATTTTGTGCTCCGTGCAATAACGTTGCAAACCCTATATCAAATTGGTCACAGTTAGGCTCTGAAAATTCTACTGACTCCCACCAAAAGAGGAAAAAAGAAGTCATAAGAACAAGATAATTAGTAAAATACATAACATGCAATCTTAGCTTACCTCTCCAGCATTAAAAATAAATCTCTGCTTGTCAAAAAATAGCAGAACAGATGGTGATGTGTCTTGAGTATCCATTCCAGTACCTAGAATCTGAACCATAGTATAAATTAAACGATACTCCAAGAAAGTATCTGGGTACTTCAGCTACAAGAACTTAAAGTTCAGACAACATTTCTTTAACAGCAATGATGAATTCAACTCTTAATCAACAACAATGAACACAGGAACAAATTCCAAGAAAACCTTTTAAATCAAGCAAAACCCGAAGCCGTTCTAACCTAGTTGCCAATCTTCCTATAATCTATAAACGTTCAAGAATGCAGCTACATATTCACTTTTTATACGTACCATCGATTGCCTGGAAATTGAGACCGACACTGACAATACAAACCTTAGATAAAACTTCCTACTCAATGGAAGCAAAAGAACAAGCAATCAATGAGGAGAAATGAAGGCAATCACCTGAACATAAGAAATAGTATTCACAGGATTGAGCTTTCGCACTTTAAGTTGAAGATTTTTCTTGGAATCTTTATCCCTTCCTTCAGCCCTTTTCCGATTAAACCCAAACGTGGACCCACTCGTCCCGGCAGAAGGGCCCTCCTCCGATTCCATTGGCAACCCACTTTTTCCCTTACTGCTTTTATCAGTCCCACTTGAGGTACCGCTGCTTCGATGCCTGAGATTGAAAGACTGAGAATTGGGATTCTTGCTTCTACTGTATTTCTTGGAATAAGAAGAAAAAGCAAAGAAACGCAGCTGGGGTTGGATAGGATAAGCAATGGGTCGGTGTAAAGATGGATTCTTGGGTTTGAAAAAGAGGGAAAAAGATGATGAAAGGTTGGTGGCGGTGGCGGTGGCGGTGGTGGTGGCGGTGTGGTGGCGTCCGGAGGAGAACAGAAGGCGGAGGCTTGAAATTTGGGGCATTGTGCCAAAGTTAGCTTGTGTATGCATTATTTAAGAGGTGACTGGATTTGAGGCTTCTTCTTCAGGCCCATAGGGTTTAAGCCTTCAAAGTTTCTTTCTTGATAAACCCCTTGCCTTCAAAATCCAAGGTCTTCTTTCCTTTTCCATTTTCTTTTCTTTCCCCTCTCTCCCCACAAAAAAAAAAAAAAAAAAAAATCTTTTGTTTTTTTTAATCAAAAATATTGTACAACGCTCTTGTTTTTTTCTTTTTTTAAAGAAGAGAAAGGGAAAATCCTATAGTTAAAAAAAATGTTCTTTTCTCATCTTCTATTTGGATATGTATAATTTTGTTGATATCGCCATTCTTATTCTATTATTTTTTACATTAATAAAAAGATAGATATGGAGGGATTTTTCTTTTTTCTGTCTCTCAATCTTGCTTGGTTTTTTTTTTTATTATGAATTGTATATATAAAATTAATAAGGAGTTCGTTATGTAGATCTATGTTGATGAGTATTTTGTTAGACAATCACAAATTCTAATGATTATATTCATAGAGTTCAGGCTCTTCAAAAATACTACAACTCTGATATTTCAGATAAGGAGAATATGAGCCACAAACAAGAAACCCAAAAAGAAAAGAGTAATCCAAGAATCCAACTCTAATCTAAAGAAAAACCTGAACTATATCTCAAACTGTGCGACCAGAAAAAAGATGGGCACTCTGGAATTGAGATGTTTTTCAGTGTCTCATCTGAAATGCAATGCAAAATCTACTTTGCTTGCTCCAATCAAATCCATCCCCATTACAAGATCTATTAAAAGCTCTTCCTCCAACAGATTTTCCAGAGGGAAAATCAGGGCAGTTGGAACAATCCCTGAAAGCCAACCTGCAGAAACTACTTCCCAAGAACCTCCTCAAATCAACTTAGCATTTGTTAGTGTAAGTTCGTTGAATTCAGATTGTGACTATACCTAAAAATTGTTCAAATATGAAACCATTCCAATAACTCCCCACAGAAAAAGCAGGGCAGATACAGAGTTTGATCCTAAATGTCAAGTGTTTTTGTGTTTGGATTTCAGTCAGTTTTGCTGCCGGATGGGACGCCGGACGTGCAATGTCGGACGGCTAGGGGAGGACAGAAACTCAGAGACATTATGCTTGATTCTAACGTTGAGCTGTATGGACCATATGTAAGTTCATCCATTTTCTGGGAACTTCATGAACAACATTCATATGATGATGATCATCAGATTAATAAGACTTCACTCACTACTTCAATTCTTCGGCTGAAATTGAAACTTTGTTGGTTAATTTTGTTCATGTATACTTTAGGGAAGGCCTTTGCTAAATTGTGGAGGAGGAGGAACGTGTGCCACTTGCATGGTTGAGGTAAATATACATAATCATACTCCTACTCTTAATATACTAGTTTGGAAGGAATAATTCTGGGACGGAGGGAGTATTAGTTTGGAAGAAGTAATTCATTTTTTGATATTTTATCTGAGCGTCTATATATGTAAAATCTCTCGTTAGTCATTATGCAATGTATGGAGTATGAATTTGTCGATCAATCTGAGTATTATTAATCCAATGCTAAAGAATCGCATTGATTGTGTTTATTATGTTTTCTAAAAGATACAAGGCTTATAATGCTGATGATTGATTTTGGGCAGATTGTGGAAGGAAGAGAGCTATTAAGCCCTCGGACAGACAAAGAGAAGGAAAAACTGAAACGGGTTTGTACCTTAAAACTCAGCTATATAAACTTACAACCTTTGACACAATCCAAATTATTAATCCATAAGTTGAAACATTGTTACTAACCATTTGTCACTGAAAGAGTCATTCGCCTCGGACTATTATATTATGTCGATAGGAAACCTGATTAAAATCACTGAGCTAATACTTTACCTCTCGGAATTCTTTCTAATTGCATAAATTTGGCAAATGCAGAAGCCCAGAAATTGGAGACTTGCTTGTCAAACCACGGTTGGGACACCAGATTCAACTGGAACGGTTCGTATTCAACCTATGCCAAAACTAACTCATTTTATCATTTTTCATACCACTCTTAGTTCTCAAACCAAAAAAAAAATCATAATACATACTGCATTTTAGGCTTAGTCAAAATAAAATATAACACCATTCAGGCCCAAAAATGGATACTGGAGACTGCCTATATAGACTCAAATCACATTAGCCCATAGCTTCCTTGTTGCCCTTGGTCCAACAATTAATCAGGCCTAAATATTGGATGACAAATGCTAGGTCATAACTGTCATAAGCAATTACTCATTTCTCTTTTTTATTAATTGTGTGTGTGTGTGTGTGTGTGTTTTTTTTTTTGGTTTAACTCAATTACTCCATTTCCATCCAACCATATTACAAGACACAATATGAAATGAAAACATAAATAGAATTAGAGATTACGAACATTCATATTTTTATACTGTTTTTTGACATTTTTTTGAGGCAAGAGCGGAGCTAAGCCCCATAAATATGGTGGGGCAAAATTTTTGAAATCTTAATTTAACATACTTGCCCCTTAATAATTTCAATTTAGATGGGGCAAACAGTAATATTTTTACAAAAAAATTACAAAATATCAAGGGGTAACAAGCAAAAAAAAATTTCCAACTGGGACAATTGACCCAGCTGGGTTATATGTGCGTCCGCCACTGTTTTGAGGGATTTTGACTTATGCTCTAGGTTTCAAGATAGTTACTCTATTTATTGTATTAAAAATAGTATTTTCTTTGTTCAAAAATGTTTGTCTAGTTCGGATTTTATTTTGTAAAAATAAAAATTCAAACTGGACAATCATTTCAAGATGGAGGGATTACTATAAAAATTGAATTAGTCAAGGGACGGGGGAATATGAATTATCATTGAACAATTCTAACGTTTCAAGCACGATGATATTGTCATTTACATTGGCCACAACTTCTTTTTTCAGGTTTTAGTTCAACAATTGCCTGAGTGGAAGGCCCACGAATGGAATTATGGGAAGCCACCGCCAGAAGACGCAACTATTATTTATTTAGATTAATTTTTTTAATTTCATGTGACAAAATTTATAAATTTTTATCAATCACATAATTTATGATGCATATCTTTTTCAGTATTACCCAAGAACAAAAAGGGACAGCTCCAGCACACACACCTCCATGTTTTTTTTTTTTTGGTTGAAAATAAGCCCTTAAATTACTCAATCAACTGTTACGAAATACATGGAGAGAAACTGATAAAGGCGCATTCTTGTTAATCTATGCGGGCCTTCGACTATTGCTCTATCTACCTTAATGACATTACAATCTTTGACTCGATGCAGCAGTTCTCTAATGTCTGTAACTAGTGACAGCAACCCCAACGAACACGACTTGTTACCATCTACGTAGTCCACTAGATTCTGACTATCCGTTTGAATCTGACAGTCCACTATTCCTAGCGTCCGTACTGCCTGAAGACCTGCAAGACATGCACGTCCCTCCGCCTCTACTGCTGAGAGTGCATAAAAGGTTTCAATTACCTAAGTTATTAGGCAGCCATTACTTGTAATAATTTCCCAAACGCCCACTCCACGCCTGTTTGACTCTTGGAAAGCTGCATCAATGCGAAAGTAGTATTCCCCCCTCATAGCCCGAAGCATTTGTTGTGCATTTGGAGCTTGAATATTTCGACTATTGGCCACTGCAGATTGGTCTTTGGTTTGCTGGTGTGCAGAAATCCTATTGTAAACAGATCACTCCATTGTTGCCATCTTCTGTACTTAATGCGGGTTCAAGATTTGGGTGTCCCAGACCGCTTTATTTTGCGCTAACCAGATTTGCCAAAGCAAAAAGAATGATAATTGGATCGCTTCACGGTCAGGGGCTGATAACAACCAATCTTGGAACCATTCTTCCAAAGGAGTGGCTGGTGCAGATGTAAAATCGAAGCCAAGAGAAGAAGAACGCCATATTCTTCTAGAATGATCGCAGTCAAGGAAGATATGTTGCATATTTTCAGCAGCGCAACCACACCTGGTACAGTTGGTCGACAAATTCACTCCTTGCTTAGATAGAGCCAGAGCGGAGGGGAGTGCGTGGTTGACCATTCTCTATAATAACCAGTGTATCTTTGCGGGGACTTTAATCGCCCAAAACACTTCACAAGTTGGCATACTCATGTGAGACCTAGTGGCAGAGGTGAGGTTGCGGGTCGCCATACCAAGGCATCTAGCTTTATGATATCCAGATTTGACCATATAAATTCCATTGGCAGATTTAGACCAAAATCTGAAGTCACTTTCTGGAGATGAATGAGCTGGAATATAGATGGATACGATCATGTCTGCCACGTTGAGGCAAAGATGTTTCTGACGAGGGGTTCTCGCCATTGCCTCTCTTGATTCAATAAGTCCTTAACTCTCAAATGTGGTAGGGTCAAACCTGAGGAAAGATAGGTGCTTAGGGGGTTCTGTACTCTAGGGATCCATTCGTCCCCAACCGAGACCTCCCCATATCGAATTTGCCATTTGAGTCCCGGTCTCAGAAGTTCCCATCCCCAGAGGATGCTCCGCCATCTCCACGAAGTTGACCTTGGCATAGGACAGTCCATTAGATCCTTATCACGAGCATATTTAGCCAAAAAAATCTCGCAAAAAGCGAGTCCTTGTTATTAATGATTCGCCATGCCATTTTGGCCAGAAGCGCCTGATTCATTTCCTTAGCTGCTCGAAAACCTAGACCTCCTTGAAATTTCGATTCACATAGATAATTCCAAGACTTCCAGTGGATGCAGCGGCCCTCATTATCCGAGTTCCAGATAAAATTTGCCACCAAACGATCAATTTGTTTGGTGGTTGATTGTGGGAGTTTGCATGCTCCCATCAAGTACACTGGTAAGGTGGCCCGAGAATGCTTTGCTAATGTGATCCTTCCCATTGTGGAGAGGGACTTGTTTTTCCAAGTCTGTTTGTTTGGTTTTTTGGATGGTTTTTTGAAATTATTTTAATAATAATTTTCACATCTCAGCATAACTTTTTACATTTTCAATACACCTTTTTACATTTCTAATACAAAAAATATCTAAAAATACACACTAAAAAAACGAATCAAACATAAGTTTGTTCCGCATTCGCTGAGTGATTTCTCCAAAAAGGACCGTTTTCTTCAGCATATGAAGTCCATCGACAATCCAAGATATTCGTGATGGCTATTGCAGGTGGGCATATGTAGCCATTGTGATAGCCACTCCTTGTATGCGGGCTGACACCTCCATGCTTTATTCATAAATCTTTTTTGCGATGGGAAAAAAGACAAGAAGCAAAGATGATGGATGTAAAAGAAGAAGGTCACGATGAAACATTAATGATTATCCAAGACCTACTACTAATGTGCCTGTTGTTAGTTTGGTCGGAAAGATGATCTTCATTATTAATCATTACGTATTCCCTAAATTCATCATCATCGTCGCATATGATTCGTGAACAGAAGTTAAGGCCTAAATAAAACGCGACATATTTGGTGTGTTTTTTATATTTACGTATATATACTTATATAATGTGTTAATTAATTTATGCAATCGGTTCGTAGGGCCTAATTTTGAAAATAAAAACGTGCATTTCTTTCATTTCAGACATCAGAAGAGTACAATGGAAAATGGATTTACAGCTAGCTGCACGCCACAAATGAAAACCAGAAAGAGAAAAAAACAAAGCATCAAATTGCCTTTTCCCCTTTCAATTACGAATTGACAGATTGCACAATTCCTTTTTCTTTTCTTTTTTTTTCTCTGATGAATGGAACAAGATAACGGAAAATAAATACAAAAATCAATGACCAAATTTGTGACAATTAAACAGCGCTAGCAAGGGGAGCATAGTCTTGGTTCATGTACACATTGGGGTACACAAGCCCAGCCAATGCACCGCCGATGAGTGGTCCGACCCAGTAAACCCAGTGGTCGGTGAAGTCGCCGCTGGCCACGGCCGGTCCGAATGAACGGGCCGGGTTCATGGATCCACCGGAGAATGCTCCGGCAGCCAAAATGTTAGCTCCAACAATGAAACCGATGGCAATTGGGGCAATGACTCCAAGTGAGCCCTTCTTTGGGTCAGCTGCTGTAGCATACACTGTGTACACCAATGCGAATGTGATGATGATTTCCATCACTACCCCTTGAATTGGTCCAACTCCGGCAGCAAGAGTGTGAGTTGGTATTGCCTGAAAAAAAAAAAAAAACCATTTCCATTTAATGAAAGTCGAATTATTACTCAATCCGTCCCAAAATTAAAATCGTCTCATTAACTACCTTTTAACTATATGTCATATAAATACGATTACTAACAAATATTAAAGGTTAATAAAGCCAAGGGTTTTTGCAACAAGAATTGAAATGAGCTATACAATTAAGTTGGAGTGAAAACATACCAATCCGCCGGTGACAAATTTGAGAAGGTAGGAACCAACGACGGCGCCGAGGAGCTGAGCAACCCAGTAGAGGATACCGGTGAGGACGGTGATTTGGCCGCCAACGGCCAAGCCGAAAGTGACGGCGGGGTTGACGTGTCCACCGGAGATGTTGGCTCCGACGGCAACGGCGACAAAGAGAGCCAAACCATGGCAAATTGCGATGGCCACCAGGCCAGAAGGGTCAAGTCCAGCATTGGAAGTTATTTTGTCTGCCAAAAACATCAACACAAACAAAAACCAAAATAACGTAAATTAATCAGAATGAAAACTCATGTGCATGAACATGCATGAGATTAGATGAATGATTAACGTTATGGTACGTACGTTCTAATAAATGTTCGAATCAATGGCATCGATTTTATTGAAGAAATTAAATGAAACATGAAGAATTTTGGAACTAAAAGGGGAAAGTTTAATTACTGAATGCAATGGCGGAACCAACTCCGGCGAACACAAAAAGCAATGTGGAGATGAATTCAGCAATGTAAGCCTTGAAGGAGGCTACACTGAACGAATCATCGAATCTTCCGAAAGCAATTCCTGCCATTTCTTTTCTTTCTTTCTTTTGTCAAACTGGGAGAAAGCTCTAGAGAAATTAGAAGAGGATGTACAAGTTTTCACATAGAAATTCTCGAGTGAGATGGCACTATAAGGCTTAGTCACTCACGCATATATATATACACATGTAAAATGGCACAGTGTATGGATTAGAATGTAACGTATATTATAATGCATTAATTGAACATGATCAATAATTATTTGTAACAATTATTAATATATATGCTTACTCGACCTGTCCAACTGGAAACCCGATAAGTACGACATATTTTGGTCTACCTTGCAAATGTGGTACGTATGTACTAAATAAATGTCATATCACTAATATACCGCTTATCATAGAAAAATCAATTTCATACTAGCTTCTGTTACCTTTGTACCATTGTATGTACTAGACTCCAGTGGCGCAATTTCAAATCGCATCTTGTAATATTACAACTCTATACGTGCGGATTGACAACTTCAACATTCGCGATTAATGTAATGTAATGAAATGACATATATATTGCGTAAATTATGTTATTTGTAATGTCTAAAATGCTAAGAGCCATTAGTTAGGAACTATAATCTACATGACCAAATATTCAATTATAATCATTTGTGTGTCCTGGATAACTATTGACCTTAATTGTTGTGACCAGATACACTAGGTAAGAATATGAAGTGCACAAATACTTCCATGCATATCCAATTTCTTCCAGATCTTAGCTGTCACTAACATGATTTTTAATCGAATTGTCGAGAAGGTCATCAATGATTCACATCCATTCCATATGATATTCCATGTGATCCGACCAATAGAAGAGCCCTCAAGAGTGGAATGTCTTTGTTTTTCGGGTCCACAAAAGATGAGGAAAAAAGGATATGAATCGCAAGAAATGAGCTTCCAAAAAATTGAATTTTTTTTTTTTTTGAAGGTGATGAAGGCATGACCAACTTCGGGCCACATAATGCACCGACCATGGGCCAGATATAAGGATGTGGCGGTCTGTGTGGAGGATTTGATCTAGATGTGTGGATGAGATTGAATTGGGATTAGTAGTATCTCTTTTTTAGCTTAATTTGCGCTTAATTTTGAATTATAAAAAATGGTAATGGAGATAATGTGCTATCTGGTTCACTTTTTAGGTTAGGCATATTTTGACAAATATGTGTAAGGTTTTAAGCAGATCGACAATAGTGCGAGATTATAATCGCAACGTCATGGTTTAAAATTGAATACCCTCTATTTATAACATTAATAACGAGTGTAACCATAAGTTATCAAAGCGGAATACGTATCGTGTATTGGAAACCTAGATTTATGATACGCGTATCGTAAGATACGTTTTAATATAATAATATCTATAAAAAATAATAAATATTATAAACTCCATATGTAGTTGATATATTTATGTATTTTTTTATTTTTCAGTTATAAACAAATAAATTGATTAAGTTGAATTTAAAATTATTTGAAAGTTACACATATTACTTATTCATTATATGAATAATGATCGTAAAACCTATGTAATAAATGTTACTTTTCATAATAATAGTTATTAAGCCATAAATTTAATAGAGAGAAATTAATATAAACATGTATCGCATTTATTTAATATGCTATTAGTAATACTTGATTTAAAAAAGGAAAATGATATTATGAATAAAAAATATTTTCAACTAATTTATTTTTTGAACTAGAATAATTTATTTATCGATTTTATTGACAATTGAGGAAGATTAAGTTTATGAAATAAATAAAAAGTATCTATTTAAAACAAATTATAAATGAAATTCGCTCTTAATTTGAAATTTAAATGGTCACAATTTGAATTCTTTTAAGAAAAAAAATTAATTTTTTATCTATATTTTTGTATCGTACGGTATATAATAGTATCGTGCCGTATGTATCGTATGATACGTATCGATAATTAATCGATATTATGTATCGAAATCTTTAATTTTGATACATATCGTGCGATACATATCGTATATCGTACGATACGTACTACTATCTGTCTAACATTTGCATGATACTCTTTCATTAATTTTTCACAATCACTTGTCTCGTTCTTCATCTCCAAAATTCGAGTACGTAAATCTATAAAATAAACCCAACGACTAATTATAGCTCTTATAATATTATTATGACCTACCCCTCCATTTCAAAATGTAAATCATTTAGACTTTGAATGTAATTAAATTAAACAGACAATCATACAACAATTAATTTCATGTGTTAAATATCTGTTTCATCCCTCATTAATTACATTGAAACTATAAACAATACTACAAGAAAATAAATTACCATTATTTATTAAGGGTAAAATTAGAAAAATAGTCTTTAATTTGCCTAGAATTTGTAAAATAATTTACATTTTGAAAAATCTCTCCAAATCTAAAATGACCTACCAATTGAAATGACGGGAGTATTTATTTACAAATTTATTACAGGACTCATTCTGCCATTTCACTTAGGCATTGCGGAACCTCAATCATTAATCATTAGAATAAACTTGAATGGGTGGTTAGTGGTTTTAATTTGTGTTAGTGGCGTGATATGGATGGATAGAAAGGAATCTCTGGAGTAGTTATACTGGCATATTCAGACACATAAGCGATGTCCTTTGATCCCAAAGGATATTGTTCTAAATGTGTGCTTATTTATTTATTTATTTATTTTTTTGGGTTGGTTGCTTCACATCATCTCCAACTGAAACAGCATTATTTAGGATATGTGTGTTAAGGAATGTTTTCAACATCAATTTCTATGATTTTATTATTATTATTATTATTATTTTGGGGTTCCTTATGGGAAAGGTCAGAAAATTGCTAAAGTCATAGTGACAACTTTTTTCCCACGAATTATTCCTGTTCAACTTTCCCTATCATACCATTTCTATAGATCTGAGCTTGGAATATTACTTTGGATACCGAGTGTAGGTTTTTTTTTTTTTTTCTCTGCATGCTCTTGATAGTTACCAGCACAGATGTCCGGTAAACAAGAACTAGTGAAACACATGATTTACATGACTTACCGGTGTTAACAAGAATTATAATATTTTTGATCAAGCAAAAAAACAAATGTAGCTCACTCCCTTTTTTTTTCTTTTTTTTTTTTTTTGGGGGCATAATTAAAGTCTCAAAAGGGGAATTTAATTAATTACCAGTTTCCATTTCAAGATTCTGGTTTGTACATTTGGGATGTGGCATTGTGTGGCAAGGCCTATTTCGAGTTAAGGTTTGTTTTTGGGTTAAAAGACTTGCCTCTCAGAGGTTTGAATGGACAAGTACTTCATAATTATTAAGGTTTGTTTATTGCAACATTAGTCTATTCATATTGAGGAATTATATGTGAGTCATAAACGCTCGAGTTCATTAAAGTCTTATATTATTCTATTACCGGCTCTCATATGATTCGTTGTAGTAAGAGTCTTATAGATGGATCATACAAGAGACTCATAGCAACCAGTTAGAGTATAATTTTTTTTGATAATTTTATTGTTTGGTTATCGATCAATTTCAGTTTTGCGATTAATATTTGCATATGTCGCTTGGTTGTTTAGACAATTGTAAAGTTGTACTCCTTCCGTCCCATAATTATTGTCCAGTTTTGCTAAAATGAAATATTTTATTTTTGATCAAACTTAACTATATTTTACCTTAAACAACCGGATATACCCCTACATAAGTAATTGTTTAGCCACTAAGATTTTATGGATAATGTTTTTTACTAAGGACAAATGTGTAACTTGATCCATAAAAAGTCAAATTGGACAATAATTTTGGGACAAAATTTTTTGGGTAAAATGGACAATAATTATGAGACGGAGGGAGTATCTTTTAGTAAGAAAGGATTTTGCTGAAAACTATAAGTGTCGAATTTCTCGTCTATATATCTAACAAAGTCAACGGAAAAGTCTACCAAGAGTAAATTTCATTATTTTGTACTCTCTCACTCCCAGAAAATAATCTAATTTTTTTTATTAAAAAAAAACTAAAATCTTTATACCTGATGTCTATTCTTTCTATACTTGGTGTGAAATTAGTAAATTCCATTTTTAATTTGTTTTCAGTTTTACATACGAATGTAACAATTGATAAATTGTGTAAATATCAATCGAATTTTAAAAAATTTTAAAGGGGGAAATTGAAATTGATTAATTACTAAATAGTAATAATACCTAAAAATTTTAAAAATAATATAACACAATGCATTTTGGTTAATATCAACTTTCTTTTGTCGACTTTGCAAAATGAACTTGAAAGTCTGACGTTCTCAATTTTCAAAATTTATTGCATGAAACACGAATTATTATAAATTATTATTGGGTCGGCTTTGGATGACCGATGCGAAATTTACGTGGTACGAATTTTTTATTTTTTATTTTTTAAAAAACTCTATTCTTAACTTGGTTGTCGTGTTTCAAAACCCTCCTAAAACCCTAGCGAGCGCAAAAACCTATTGAAAAGTTTGACTATTGGCTACTTAAAAATTGGTAGCATTGAATTATTTTTTATTTTTGTTGGTAGCAACATAAAAACCATTGGATAATGGATACAGTTCATTTCCTTTCTTTTCTTTTCTTTTTCTTTTCTTTTCTTTTTTTTTTTTGTAAAAGAAATGTTGAGCGTCGCCTTGTGCGTCTTCTTAGGCAACCCGACGAACAAGTCGACAAAGAACAAAATCTATTGTTTTGTATCATTTTCACCATTTTTTTTTGATAATTTTATTGTTTTGAAATCAATCAATCTCAGTTTTTCCATCAATATTTACATCTGTTGTTGGTTATTTTGACAATCTATAAATTTTTAACTTTTGGAAGAAATGTATTTGGTATAAATGGTAAGCGACGACTTCCTTGTCTATTTATCAAAAGCAACAAAAAAGTCGACGTAAGACAAAATTCATTTGTTTATCCCCGAAAATTTATCTAATTTGGAAAAGTAAAACTATATGTTGGATGTCTTAGTCTTTCAAATTGTATCAATTTTAATAATTTCTAGATGTCATAAATAAATATCATAAGTCTAATATTGATATTTTAGTTTTTAAACTTGAACTATCTTTTTGGAACAGATGAAGTACCATTTTCACAAATTTGTAACAGTATTATTGTTTGGTAATTTATCAATTAGAGTTTCTCGGTTTAAATTTCAAATGGTATTTCATGTTGGGTGTAACACAACAAGTAAATTATCACATGTACTTTTTAGAGACATTAGGCTCATTCCCTAAAACTATAACTCCAAGCTCAAACACTGCAGTGGGTTCTTCTTCTTTTTTTAATTTTTTTTTTTTTTTTTACGCTGCAGTGCTTTCATCTTACTAGTTGGGATTTTAGAAGTGTTGCTTTCAGTTATAACTTTTAAGGCACTCAAAATCTTGAAGCGTGGACGTTAATTTTGAATCGTTTTTTGCTTTTCAGTGTGTTGTTTTCTGAGTTAATTTGATTGAGACTGAAAGAAAATTTGGAAAGAAATAACTTCAATCAAGTTTATAACTGCAAACAAGTTTCTACTACTGGAGAAGAGTGTTTTAGTCCATTCAGGCGCAAATGATCTGAGAAGATAAGTCACGGAACCCAGCCATCTTGTGCAAGATTTCAGTAGCCTTAGAATGTAAGGTAAAAAAATAAATCAATCCCAGAGGATTCAAGAGTTTGTTGCCATAAATAACGCAGTAGTTCAATCGAGCCACTTTAAGTACATAATAATAATTCAGAGTACATGAATGCATTCAACTGGGGTGGTTGAGTTCTTCAGCATAGATCTCCAGAGAGTACCCCACACATAGGAATTCAAATGGTTTTCAGAATTCGACGATATCTAAATCTATAGAGGACTCGGAAAGATGTATGGTACTGTAAACCAATTCATTTCACAGTTCATTTTGATTAAAAAATCGTTATGATAGGCCAACCGCGTATGATCAATTCGCTCCTTACATGGTTTTCACTGTTTCCTATCAATGATCATTTGAATTTCGAAACATATGGACATTTATCTTCCAAGGAAAAAGAAAACAATAACAATAAATATGGAAAAAAAAAAAAGACGAGGAAGTTAGCCTAGTTAAAACAGAGGAGAAAACTTCTAAAAGGCAAGCATTTCTATCACAGTAGCTGTAAACCTAGGATGTAAGCTACGGATATTCATGATGTAGTAATAACAAGCACCAAACTTCTGTCAAATTCAGCACACCCAACAGATAAAAATGGCTGTCTGTGGGGGCAAAATCCTTCAAGAAGAAGGGATAACTGCACCATACCAATGGTCCAAGCTACTGTGTGTGATTCAATGTTGTGGACAATGCATGGAATTCGAATGTACTGTTGTGAGTGTACTAAATTCATTATTCGCCCATGTCTTCTGATTTCACATATGTATTTAGATATTAAAATATCAATTTTTTTCACTTACACAATTTATCTCGTTAGTTCAAACACCTACAATGAGTTGAAAAAAGTCAAAAACACTACGCTAAACCATTAAGGTACTATAGCAATTGGTCCAACCCTGTTGGTTTTCTTTATGTTTTCTACTTACCATCCTCCACAGTAAGTAACCTCACACATATTGCAGTCACCAAACTTTATATGCAACACATTGTCATCAACTTCTACTTTACGTATTCCCATAGAGTCATCTCTACTCCTATTCCTGACTATACCAATTTGACAATAAACCACCGTCTACAATGGAGTTCACTGGAGAAAGAACTCTATGGAGTTTTGTGGATGAGGAAAAAAAGCAGAATATAAATTTACCAAGAAGGCTCTCGTTTGGAAACCACGAATCTGATACTCATTTGGCTTCTCCAAGAACTTCTTGTGCATCCGCTGCATCATTCCCCCTTTGGCCTATGAGCCCTGAGACTCCCTGGGTGAGATCTCCTTTGCATGCATCTCCCCCAACATCGTCCCTTCTATACCACTGTGTAGCCTCACTTCATCGCAGTGAAGGTAAAATCTTCTCGATAACATCCTCCAAGCACTTTGTTTTCACCGCATCAGACAGCAGAAGGATCCATGCATGGAAACTTCCAGATTGCACAGAAATGGGATTCATTAAGGCTAATGCTGGCGGCATTCGAGCTATCTTGGCACATGGGAAATATTTATTCACTGCTCATGGTGACTACAAAATCCGAGTGTGGGAAGTGCCGCCAACAGAAAGTTTTCAACCAAGGAAGATTACCACCTTGCCACGGAGATCTTTCCTACTGTACCCAAGGATGAACAGCCACAAAGACTACATATCATGTATAGCTTATAACTACATGGAAAACCTGTTATACACAGGTTCCTGGGACAAGACAGTCAAGGTCTGGAAAATCAAAGAAAAGCAATGCATTGATTCATTTGTGGCACATGAAGGTCAAGTGAATGCAATTGTCATCAACCAAGAAGACGGCTGTGTCTTCAGCGGTTCATCAGATGGCACAGTGAAGATTTGGAGGAGGGTTTACAGAGAAAGCTCTCACATCCTCACTATGACTCTAAAGTTTCAACCATCACCAGTAAATGCTCTGGCCCTAAGTTTGTTATCCAGTGGCTGTTTCCTCTATTCTGGTTCAGCAGATGGACTCATAAACTATTGGCAGAAGGAGAGAATGTCCGGAAGGTTTAACCATAGAGGATTTCTACAAGGCCACCACTTTGCAGTTCTTTGTTTAGTGTCAATTGGAGACTTGCTTTTAAGTGGTTCTGAAGATGCAACAATAAGGGTATGGAGGAGAGAAGAGGGGAATTCATTTCACTCATGCCTTGCGGTGATTGATGGTCACCATGGACCAGTAAAATGTTTAGCAGCTTCACTGGAAACATCAGATATGTTGATCGGACTCCTAGTTTACAGCGCGAGTCTAGACCAAACTTTCAAGGTATGGCGAGTCAAAGTATATCTCGCTGAGACTTTGAACACAGAGAAATCAGACCCCAAGCATAGCCAGGCTGAGAAGGAGTGTCAAATGAGTCCTGTATTATCGCCTTCATGGGTGGAAAGGAAAATGCAGGCGAACCATTTCGAATAGGCTAAAACTTACACCAACAGAGACAGAGCTAAAGTGAGCTAGTAGAGATCAAGTCGTATGATTAATCTTAGTCATAAATGTTGCTACTACATCTAGAAGAGTTTCTCAATACGACAGACAACAAGCAGGTTGTATAACATTTAGTTCTCAGCAGTAATCTAGCTTCGTCATGAATTAATAGTCTGCTTCATTTTCAAGAGTATAATCTACTAGTATTTAATTTTCTTAAGGTATTTCATAATCAGTAAAACACATTTACAAACAAGAAGATCCAGTATGAAGAATCACAAAGTAATTCTAAGACAGTCTCATGCTTTGTCTGTTCAATCCTATCTCTTCAGAATGAGACTTCATAACACCAATCATGGACACCAACTAGTCCAGCTACAACATTGAATTTCAAAATCATGAATCATGTCGGAAATAACATGTCCCACTGACATAATGCCTACATTTTACTGTCCAAAAGAAATGGATTTTCTTCACTACAGGAATTGGTGATAATCAATGTGTATGTATAATCTCACTCTAATTTCATGTTTCCATCTTAGATCGGGGAATTCTTCATCTACGAGCTTCAGATAGAGTGAAGCTTCTATTAGGGGAATTACCAACTGAACAAGAAATGGACAAAAGACCAGAGAACATGTATAAAACTATTCTACCTCTAATTTTCCTGGGCCACATGAAATGCTGATCCTTATTACCCCACTCTACCAAAAGGTATAAAACTGTCACTTCCAAATGTACCAGATGTTTGGCCTCACATATTATACATTCACTTATTAGTGGCCAACAACCTCGTCCTCAGGCCATCTGCGAAGAATGCCCTTTCACTCTTCTTCTTGACACATCCTTCAGCAGAATTCTAGTCCCCCCCTCTCCCCCCCACCACCAAAACCCAATAATAAATCCTAGAGGAAAAAAGAAGCAAAACAAAAGGAAAATGTTATTGTGTACCAGGAGAGGTGAAAAATAAGACTTTCTCCAGCAAAAAAAAATTAATAGGATTTTTTTGTTCTTGATTTGCTTTTTCAGAAGTGATAAATTCGCACACTCCAGAATAGAACTAGTATATTACAGTGCATGATTATACTTCAGAGGGAATTTGTGATATTGTGCTTTACAAGGTATGGAGCTTCTTTCAAAAACCTCCGGCATTGAGGTTTTTATTAACTATCATCAGGCAGCAGCTACGTAAGCCTTAAAAGCCACAATAACTGTTTGGTGAGTTTGCTCTTTATAGAGAAATAGATTTATAGATTAAATTGCAGTACAAATCGAAAATGAACTACTTTATTTAACAGAAACGGACAAAACTTCGGTGATCCACTTAAATGTCTAACACCTTTACTCAACTCCTTCCTAAATGGTAGAAAAGAATATACAAGTGCAAAGAAAACCCCAGTTGGTAGCAAGACAATCATGACAAGAAGCGCCTCAAATCCTAAAGCTTAAATAGTTACACGTAAAATGTCAATCTAATTGCAAGCTTTCAGGAAATGGAATAGAAGCACAACAATGGTAGTATCCATTTTGATCAAACGCAAACCTTTCGGAAAGATGGGCTTCCTGGATAACGTATTCTCCCCAATCCTCAGATCCATATCGATCAGCAATGCTACGTGCATCAAAGTAATCATTATACTTTTTTTTACCTTTCCTGCAATAATTAGCACACACAAACTGATTTAGCCGAGGAAACCTACAATTAACAACTAATTATTTAAACTGAAACTTTATAGTATGATGAAGCAGGTATCATAACACCTTTTCCTGTGCCGAACATTCATCACAGTAGCATGCAACTGCATTGCAGGGGGGAGGGTTAGTGATGAAGGTTTGAAGCCAATCAATGAAGATATTACAATAAAACAACATTGAAAGAAGACTAGAAAGACTAATATAAATTAAATATTTAAGTTTAACACAGTAGAAAGGAGAACCAACAACGGATCAAGTCGCACATCATACAAAATGAGAAGAGATAAAACGCTTTGGGGCCACTTTTGGCATAAGCATTATGGAGTAAGTTAAGCCTAATAAGGTTTAGAAATGAAGGAGACATGCAGTCTGATTTCTTAAGAAAATGGATGTTTGCATCAGAAGAGACAGCTATGAAATCTGCAGAAACCACAGATATCATGAAAGTTGCACAAAAACAAGTTTTCCATCTTTCTAATTGATTGCTGAAAAAGAGTAAAAATTCGCACATTAAAACTAGAAACTAATTTGTCAAAAATTGTCTACCCAAACGATCCAAAAAGAGAGGGGTAGAAGATGGCATGGAAAGCATTTATTCAGAGAAATGTGCAGTCCTAGTGATGAAGAATGTAAAACAAGAAGCATGTGATGTCTGAAAGAGACAATGAAGAAGACAGTAACTAGAAGCAATACCTTCAACTTATGTTTTGCATCTCTCTCAAGAACAAGACCTGCTTCAACAAATGCATCAATGATAACCTCTAAGAAAGTTAAGGAAAATCGCCACAACTATCCATAAAAATATTCACAAATAAATATTGAAGCGTAGGTACTTAATCTTCGTTAAGAAAAGTAAAAATATTAAGAAGCCATGAATGGGGATACGGCAGGCACATATTAGCCTTTCCTCTCCACCTATTTCTTCAACAGGAGTATAGAGAACCCGAGCCTTGGAGAAAGATCCTTTCATGCATTCCTACAAGAACAAGCACCACGAATCTCAAAACAATTAAAAATACCAAAAATGTGGCTAATCAAAAATTAAGAGGCAGCGTCTTCCAACTGCTAAATAACATGTACCTATTACTCTCCATTTCCCTCCCTTCCACTACCTCTTTTTCTCTTTGCATGCATGTCCTAATTGGTTTCCTTTGCTAATGTCTAGGTAAATTTACACTTCTATGGAAGGTTAAGTGCATGAATTTACTTTTGGAGCTAACTTCTGGAACACCCATTCCCAAAGAAAAACAAAGGACATGATTAAATGAATCCATAGTACCGATCAGTCATCTTTCATATAGACCAAAATCACCATGCTGTATAATTGAAATATATAGCTTTTAATCATAACTTTTCAAATATAGTTCACAGGAGTCTACAGGGACCTTTAAAATGTAAAAATATAACCAGTGTGTGAACTCATAGATTGTAAGAAGATATGGTTACTTTCCAAGAGAGAAAAGCATACCAGCCCCTTAAGTCTAATAGATACAGGCCGAGAGTCCAGCGCATCGATTACCTTCGGTGAGATGCTCTAAAAAAAAAAGACAAGTTAGCATAAAGTACTCTGATCATCAAACCAATAATAATAACTAATATTATGAAAACAAACTGAGCGCTTGAAGTCCACAAGAATTATTGGCAACCTTACCTGCAGGACATCAGCAGCGGCTTTTACTAGTTCCTTATTCCACAACTTCAGCATCAGTACGGTTAAGTGAAAAGTTTTTGGCTTTATAAAGATGGACCTGTCGATGCCCAACTCTGCCAGGTAGATAATGCTTCCAAGTTATTTCAAGAGAAAACAAAGCAAGAGTGTAGGAAAGGGCAAATAATCAAGCAAATGCAACACATCAAAATGATGATGTTCCAGTAGGACAATTCAATGAAACTATATCAACCTAGAAAGTCATACCAGATGCTTCAAGACTTTTCGGTTCCGAAGCATATTGTGTTGACATTTTGGGTGGGTAGCTCACTAGAGGTATGTTTTTCATGTCCACTTCAATTTTATCAGTACCAACTTTCAGTTCAGGTCGAACGACATTTTCTGTTGTTTCATTCCCATACTGTACCTCGACTTCCTTACGTGAACCACTGGCCAGTATGTTAACTTGATTGATCTCAGAAAATCCTAGGATTGAGTTCTGAAATTGATACAACTTATCCACAAGTTGAGGATTTACAGCCAATGGAAGGGATATAAAGTGAGAGTAGTCAAGACTTGGGCTTTTTACTGCCTGGAAAATCAAAAGCATAAGATGGAAATATACAGAACCACAGCAGATGGTGCAGAAGAAGAAAAAGCAAAAGATAGAGTTGATCACGTGCAGTAATAGATATTGAAGAAAACTTGTAATTCTTGGTACACATTCTAAATCGGATTTGGCAGAAGCTATGGGAAAAAAATTAATTTATGAAAATAAACTTATGAAAAATCTAACAGCTATGTACTAACCTCATCGATAATGGCTCTTATTCTCTCAGATGCTCTACTAACACTTTCAGCAGAATCGCCTTCAATGACTGCAGACCAGACAAGGACCAACAAAAATCACAAAGGAGCCAGAAGTTTGGCAACTCGATGCATCATAAGTACGCAAACTCAAAAGTAAAAAGTATTCTCCACCACAAATAAGCATAAGAAAAGTTCACCCACATCAGCTATCTATCAAAAGTTTTAAAAAGCACTGAAAATGAATGTGACTTAATGAGGGTGATCCTTTTCAGTATTGACAAGACTACATTCCGGCGTAGTGAAAAGGGAAAAGAAGAGAACCAACTTTCCAAGTTCAGGAAAGTACTCTGATGATTAACTGGTAATTCCAGAAAGCAACAGGCTGCATTGGCATGTGATATACAGGAGATATGATATCTACTAGAGGAAAGAGACTTAAATCACATATAACATGGGAAGTAGGTGCAGAGTGATAACCAACAAATAAACGCTTCGCTGCAACAAACAGAATGGACTACTAATGAAGAACACTGTGAATAAGTTACAAATACAAGGAAACAAAATTCATTAGAAATTACAACACGGAAAGACTTAAAAGGTGTAGACTGTAACCTACTTATGGAATCCTCTTTTCTAGATGTTGGAAGTTTGATCTGAACTCCCGTCTCCACTTCAACGTTTTTCTGGGTGGCTCCCCTGTTACACAATATTATCAGCAACTCGTAGAATGGCAACGACTTAGAGCATTACACGGGAAAAATGGCGTACTCTTTTCCTTTGACAAAACGGATTAGTGAAGAAGAGACCTGCAAACCGTGAAGAAAATGAGATACATAAAATGAAAAAGAAAAGACAGGGATTCCCTAAGAAGAGACCTACGTGGGAGTTCAACAAGAGACTGAGCAAAACAACAATAAGCAAGCCATGCACCACGCAATAGGCCACGATAAACATTGAATACACATAGCATATTAAAGGCCTGAAACATACACCATTGGTGTCTTTCAAGACTCTGTCAGTGAATCTCAAGCATTTTTCAAAGCAAAATCAACTTCTAAAAGTAAACCAAACACATCGTTTATATATTTTGTAATTTCCAGCGGTTACCTGTATGTGTCTTGAATGCTTCACAGATGAACATGTATCTGCAATTGGAATCACAGACTTCTCTCCCAAAGTTATTTGCGCACCTCGTGATTCTTCAACTTCATCAATTCCTACTGACTGAAAACTTATATCTTTATCAACACCGACTATGACTTTGGTTTGATGCTGAAATGTTGAAAAATGGGAAGAGATGCCATCATGGTTTTCTTCACCTTGACTACTTGTTTCATCCCTCTCATCATCAGCGACAACTTGCACGCTTTCCGAGTCAATTATTAAATCCTGTGGAGGGATTTCGTGTTGACTCGAACTTGCTTGAGAAGAAACTTGTCTCCACATAAATGACGTCTTGTTTCGCTTGTTCCTTTCCATGTCTCTGCCTAGAACTTCTACAGCTTCACCCAGGAACTTAGGACTCACACTGCGATGGAAAGAACAACTCTGCCACAGGATTCAGCGGTCAATTCAAACGTTAGAATAATGATCCTTTTCTCTATCAAGCTGAATTGAAAATATTAACTTAAGTGGTCATTTGCTCTCCTCAACTCCTAAACATTTGAAACTAACATGTCAGTGTTAACTGCAAGATCGAATCTCTCCAATTCATAATTCACAGAAACAAATCACACCTATTACAGTAAAATTCAAATTGTGACCAATTTCCTAGTGTTTCTTCACTGAGTAATAAACAGGAACACATCGAATGCACAATTAAAGGCTTCATGTTCCATTCGCGAAAAATGTAATTTCTAATCATTTAACAACGACAGCAGCTGCAACACCATTAGTGAGACAATTTCAGAGCTTCGTGCCAAATGAAACAAAGAACATACCAAAACAAAAGAAGAAGAAGAAGCAGGAACCTGTAAAGTCGGTGCTGACTTATTGATATTAAGACAACTGCTTGTTATTAGTCTTCGAGCAAGGTCGACTCTGCAGAGACAGGGAGAAATTGTGAATTCAAAAATGTCTGTAATCAGAATTCTTTAATTTCGTCAAATTGGTAGAGATGATGACGGAATATTCACCTGACGAGATACCTGCCGCAAGCAATCATTCGTTAAAATGATGGTCAGTTCACCGTCAACCTCAGCGATAGTTTGCCGGTCGGTTGATTAACTTCCGGAGTGGAAAAACTATAAACTCTGGGTAAATTACAATTTCGTCGCGCTTGTATACGTTTGTTTCTTCCAAAAAAAAAAGAAAAAAGAAAAAAAGCAAGCATTATTATCATCTCCTCCCTCATGTTCTTATAATAAGGCATTTTGATTCCATTTTAGGTTTAATATATGATATCTTTTTAATTGAGAAAAAATCCTTAAAAAAAGATTTTCACACTCACTGTGTTCTCCTAATTATTATGAAATGTTTTTAAATTTTTTATTTCAATTAAAAAAACATCCTAGGTGAAATTTAGGACGAAATCAAAATGACTTATAATAAGGACCGGAGGAGTATTATATATCCATTAAAATGATGTAATGAGCCAAAAAAAAATCATTTTATTTTATTTTTTTAAGAAAGATAAATATATTAATCTTGCTAGAAATCACCCAGCCCTCAATGATACAAATAACTCGGATAAACCAAGTTATATCATTTGTTACATAAAATTATTTTATTTTCTTATAGCATAACAAAATATGCACAGATATTTTTCTCGTACACCCCAAAACTTGTAACTATTCAATTTTGTTCATATTATAAAGGAACTTACAAAAAATAAAATAATTGTAATTGATTAAGATGTCTCCAACATGGTTGATTCATCCTTATTTTTCTTGAGTTAATATATTTCAATTTGCAAAAGACGTTGATTTTGATGAGTTATAAATATATTCATACGGTTGGTTTTGCATTAATTTGTGTCACATTTTTCTTCTATCTCTGTTTTTTCTGGTACCCTCAGTCATTGAGATATGAGAATCCTATATTTAACTTCTTCCAAATTTAGTGCGGCAACTTTGAATATCAAAGTGTAACATTGAACATTTTATAATACATTGATTAATCAAAATTTCCATTTTTTTAATCTAAGTTGTGTAGTTATGAGTATCATATATCCATCCTAGGATTTCTAAAAGTTTGATTATATTCCAACAAATGCCAGATTGTAAGGAATTCATATGTAACGAAAATAATTATTCGATACCTCCTGTTTGAAGAAAGTTCAAAGATCAATGGGGGAATATATTCCAAGTAACACTTTATTGATCACTCACATTGTAGCAAATGTCAAAAGGTAAATAGTCTTGGAATAACATTAAGAACCTAGTAAATCAAGTTCACGTACCTTAACTCCTCCCCTAGCAAATTAGGCCATCGTACTCCGTTTACGTATTACATAATGAGAAAAAGGTTATGGACTAAGTGCAGACAATTAAAGTTTCTAGTTTATATTCTCTCCATCTTAAAATGATTGTTTCTATTAAAAATAAAATTTTAAATTAACTAATTATTTTGATAAAGAGTGAGTATCTGTATTATGCATCAAACTTTTGTTGAGGTTATCAATAGAAAAATTTTTATCCAGTACGATTAATTCACTTTTCTTCAGAAAAGATATTGCGCACTCCAAAAGAAAGAAGGGGGAAAAAAAGTGTATACCCTCTATGTCAAAAAGACATGTCTATCTTTTGACCTTTTTCTCCAATGACTCAATCAAAAAGACTCAAAACTACTATACCATTCTTCATAAAAGGGTTACGCTGCCAGAAGCCCAGAATAAAATACCAAATGAAAGTTGCGCTTTGTCTAGCTGGCTTATATTTATTTCTTCAACAAGGAATGAGATTCAGTTTGTCGTTATTGTGATCCAAATTCGACCCATCTATGGTTTGCTTAGGGATCACGTTCCGGTGCAACCATACCACCGGAATCTCCTATTTGCTCTCCGGGTTAGTCATCATAGCTATTCTTGTGGGTCTAAAAATATTTTGTTACGCAATTTATAGGTGTATATATAGACGTGATCCCAGCAATCACTACGGCGGCTCCGACGCTGCTGTAAGGGCGGAGATGGGTCCTCCTCCATTGCCGGGATATCCGCCTCCGCATGGTTACTCGCCGGAGGAGACTAAGCTGGTGATCTCACCAGCGGCAGGGGATCATCATCAAGTTTCTTCTCCTAATTTGCCGCTGTCTCAACCACCTGATGCGTTAAGCTCGAAATGATGCGCGACGCAAGGTAATCAAAGGCTAGATGGGCTCTATTCCTTGGTTAATTCACTTAATAGTGATCATTTTGATTATTAATTTAGTGCGTGTGGGTTGTTATTGTATTTTCTTCTTCTTCTTCTTCTTTTTTTTTTTTTTTGGCAGCAGATGTTTATAGTGTAGTACATTTTGAATTAATTAATCATGAATCATGTTATATATATTGTTATAATGTAGTACAATTTACCGAAAAATGCATTATTAAGCTAACTGTTTTACTAGACTTCTTTTGAGCGATGTATTTTAGTAGTTTTCAATCTTCCTTCTCAATGTAAATTGTGAGTGATTTATTCCGTATAATATAAACAACTAAGTACATAAAGATATGAAATGCTTTGGTGCATATATGATATATGTATTGATTATTAACCTTTCTTAATTTCCATCTCATCTGGGCAAGCTTGCCTATTCAAGTGTATTGATCAGTTTAGCATTTGCGGGGGCGTTCGGCCAAAAGAAATATTGTAGAAATTTTTTTTTTTTTTTTTTTGGACATAAGTAATTGTCCCGGATTTGCCAAATCCGAGAGACTAATTAAACAGTCTCTCGGATTTGACAAATCCGAAACAATATAATATAATAAAAATTATAGTTTTTTAATATTTTAAAAAATACGGAAAATAGGGTCAAAAGGTGAACAGTGCTTTCGGATTTCTCAAATCCGAAAATATTTAAATATAATATTAAAATAATACAACAATAGTGGCGGACAAATTCAAAAACTGGAACAGTAATTCCAGATTTGCCAAATCCGAAGGAATCCAACTATAATATTTAAATAATACAACACTAGTGGTGCGCAAATTAAAAAATTGGAACAGTGATGTCGGATTTGGCAAATCTGAAATCCAGGGCATTAGTCTATTCATATCGAGGAGTTATATGTGATTCATGAACGCTTGAGTTCAATGAAAATCTTATAATTCTATTAGGGGATCTCATATGTCGTTGTAGTAACAAGTTGCGATTTCAGTTTTGCCATTAATATTTGCACATGTTGTTGGTTGTTTAGACAATCATAAAATTGTATTTCTCCGTCCGAAATTATTGTTCAAATTGAATTTTCAATTTTAATACAAATTGAACTAGAATTATAAATTTAATTTGGACAATAATTTTAGGACATTAGATTACTTTTTAATAAAAGAAAAGATGCGGGTGAAAATTTTAAGTGTAGACTTTCTCGTCTATTTAAAAAAGTTAACGAAATTCGACGAGGAGTAAAATTCGTTATTTTGTACTTTCTCGAGAACATAATCTAATTTTTTTAAAAAAAAATTAAAATCTTTATCTTCTCGATAGTTGGTGTGAAATTAGTAAATCCCATTTTAAATTTGGTTGTCGGTTTACATAAGAATTTTTTTAAAAACTTAATAAATTGTTTAAGTAATCAATCAAATTCTAAAGGGGAAAATTAAAATTGATTAATTACTAAATAATAATAATACTATTAAAAATTTGAAATATAATACAATACAATGAATTTTGGTTAATTTCAACTTTTTTTGTCAACTTGCAAAATAAACTTGAAAGTCGACGCTCTCAATTTTCAAAATTCATTCCATGAAAGACGAATTATTATATTATTGGGTCGACTTTGACCGATGTGAAATTTGACGTGGTAGGAAATTTTTTTTAAAAAAAAAACTCTATTTTTAAGTTGGTCATCAAAGCCGTACTAAAACCCTAGCGAGCGCAAAAACCTATTGAAAAGTTTAACTATAAGTCTTCTAATGTTGGCTACTTATTGGTTGCATTGTATTAGTTTTTATTTTGTTGGTAGCAACATAAAAATTACTAGATTCTTGATTCGTACAGTCGCACGGATTTGAC